ACTGACTAAAGTGCGCACGCTCGGAGGTAGGGAGGTGGCGACGCACAGCAAGACGTGCAGCAGCGTCGCGCGTGGCCCACTGGGAGCGAACAGTGGCGTCAGCATCAGCAGCAGGGGCAGTGGAGGCTCCAGAGGTGAGGTCAAAGAGAGAGAGGCCGTCTGCCCTATCGCACTGTAAGAACAGCTGCAGGTCATCTACCCAGACCTCAAAGTCAATGGCCCGACCCTCACCGTCAAAGACGAGAACACTAGGGGTAGCCATGACCCTAGACGACTAGCAGCGCAAACAGTAGGGTGAGGGCAGTGCAGTGAAAAGGCGCTGTGCTCACCAGACTGGGCAGGTCGGGCGGCCCGGAAGGAGGGCGGCGCGGCGGCTCGGCGGCTCAGCTGCTGGGCGGCTCGGCGGGTCGGCGGCTCCGCTGCTGGGCGGCTCGGCTGCTGGGCGGCTCGGCTGCTGGGCGGCTCGGCTGCTGGGCGGCTCGGCTGCTGGGCGGCTCGGTTGCTGGGCGGCTCGGCTGCCGGGCGGCTCGGCTGCTGGGCGGCTCGGCTGCTGGGCGGCTCGGCTGCAGGGCGGCTCGGCTGCCGGGCGGCTCGGCTGCTGGGCGGCTCGGCTGCTCTGCTGTCGGGCGGCTCGGTTGTGCTGCTGAAGGGCGGCACGGCGGTCAGCTGCTCGGCCGGGTGAGACGGCTCGGGCGGCTAGGGTGGCGGGCGGCGCTGCAGCAGGTGACGGGGCCGAGAGCAAGGTGGCGGGGCCGCAGGTAGGGTGGCGGGGCCGCCGAGTGAGGCAGCGGGGCCGCTAGGTAGGGCGGCGGGGCCGCTAGGTAGGGCGGCGGGGCCGCAGGTAGGGTAGGGCGGCGACGAGCCAGGCGGCGACGGGCCGGGACAGGCGGCGCACGGGCCACAACGGGCGGCGACGGGCCGGGGGAGGCGGCGCACGGGCCGCGACGGGCGGCGACGGGCCGGGCGGCGACGGGCCGCGACGAGCGGCGACGGGCCGGGACAGGCGGCGCACGGGCCGCGTCGGGCCGCGTCAGGTGGCGACGGGCCGGGACAGGCGGCGCAGGGGCCGCGTCGCACGGGACGGGCGGCTCACGTGGCCGGGGCGGGCGTCAAAAGGGCGGCGGGCGGGCCGCGTAGGGTGGCGACGGGCCGCGAAGGGCGGCGACGGCCGAGCAAGGGCGGCTCGAGGGAGGCCGCGACGGTAGAGAGAGGACCCGAGGCGCGACTCGGGCCTAAGCGGAGCGCGCTTCGGGCAGAAAAAAAAAAATTCGATGGTGGGCCCTAGGATCAGTTCCCACTAGGGAACCTGCTCGATACCATGAGAAGAAACAAGAGTGGATGAACTGTGAATGAAGTGGGTACAAGTACTAACCCTAATTGGGTTGTACCCCCTATGGGATACCCCACTACAGCCTACACAAAAGTATAAGCTATAACGTTCTGACAACCAACACGCGCAATCACCTCGAAGGGCCCAATCCAACGAGGGAAAAGCTTTCGTGCTCCCGGGATCTTGAGACGAATGTTCTTCGTACTCAGTAATACTTTGTCGCCAACTGCAAAGACGACTTCCCGGCATTTCATGTCGGCATAGGACTTTTGCCTCTATTGGGCAAGCTGCAGCCAATGGCGAGCGGACTTCAATGTCGCTTGTTGTTTTCCAATAAAGTCCTTTGCGGCAGGGATTTTGAGGTTCTTAATCCCATGCGTCGCAGGGGTTGTGGGGTGCCGACCACAGTTCAGGACAAAGGGTTTCTCATGTGTGCTTTCATGCACAGAATTGTTCACAGCGAATTCTACGACTGGCAACAATTCATCCCAATCGTCCTGAGTTGGGCTTATGAAAGAACGAAGCATTTGCTCAAGAGTGCGGTTGGTCCGCTCTGTCTGTCCATCCGTTTGTGGGTGGAACGCAGACGACATCTTGAGTTTCGTTCCGAGTGTCTTAATGACCTCTTGCCAGAACCAGCTTGTGAAGCGCGGGTCTCGGTCAGACACCATCACACGAGGCAAACCGTGTAAGCGGAAAACGTGCGTCACAAACAACTTTGCCGTATCTTCCGCAGACACGTCAGTCGTCGTGGGCACGAAGTGCACCATTTTGGTCAAGCGATCTACAAACACTAGTATCGCCATATGACCATCTCGCGTCCTGGGGAGATCGGTGATAAAATCCATCGATACACTCTCCCAAGGTTCATCGGGAATCTCAAGTGGTTGAAGCAAACCACCAGGCTTCTGTGTGCTCGGCTTGTTCCGTGCACACGTGTCACAGCGAGTTACAAACTGCTGGACCTCAATGCCCAATCCCGGCCACCAGTATACATCACTGAGGGCCCACCGGGTTTTCTTGACACCCAGGTGTCCTCCATACTTAGTGGCGTGCACCTCTGCTAGAATATCATTCCGCAGGTTTCCCACATGTGGGACTACAATTTCTTTCTTGTGCCACCAGAGCTCATGCTCCCACAAGAGATTGTTTGTATTCTGTGGGTTCTGAAACCAAGGGTCAATATCATACCCTGCGCGGATGCGTTTCAGAAAACCACCAAAGGCAATCTCGCTCACTCGAGCAGCTGCGAGGATGTTGAAACAAGCAGCAAACACAGCTTCATGTTCCTTATCATCAACACCCGTTGCTGCCCCAATCGGCTGTCTGCTCAGAGGATCAGCCATGTTCGTCGAGCCCGCTCGATATCGAATATCGTAGGTGAACCCACTCAGGAGTTCAGCCCATCGAGCTTGACGGCGGGTGAGTGTGGCTTGAGTGGCAAAATAGGTGTTCGGACAGTGGTCGGTCGTGACCACAAAGTCAACACCTTCGAGATAACATCTCCATGTTCGTAGCGCATGCACAACCGCCAACAATTCTTGTTCGGAAGTTGTATAGCGCTGCTCAGCCGGTGAAAGCTTTCTACTCTCAAATGCCACGGGGCGTCCTTCTTGCAAAAGAACTGCTCCAATCCCTACTGTCGAGGCATCAGTTACCACCTCGTAGGGCTTGGACGGGTCTGGCAAAGCCAGCACTGGAGCATTGGTCAGCATGGTTTTCACCTCCTCAAATGCCTTCTGGCATTGATCGGTCCACAGCCAAGCATTACCCTTACGAGTGAGGGCAGTCAGTGGGGCGACTACGGAGGAATAATTTTCCAAGAAACGGCGAAAATAGTTCGCAAGTCCAAGAAATGATCTGACCTGTCCCACGTCCTGTGGAACGGGCCACTGTTGGACTGCCGCCACTTTCTTTGGATCAACTTTGAGGCCATCGTTGCCCACCAAGTGACCAAGGTATTCCAACTCGCGTTTGTAGAAGTGACACTTCCACAATCGAGCAAAGAATTTATGCTCTCGCAGTTTTCCTAACACCCATTTCAGGTGTTGCGTGTGTTCTTCTTCGGTCTTCGAGTACACGAGGATGTCATCCAAGTATACCAGGACAAATTAGCCGATTGCCTCCCGAAACACATCATTCATTGCTCGCTGAAATGACGCGGGAGCATTTGTTAAGCCAAAACTTAACACACGCCACTGAAAATGCCCGAACGACGTTCTGAAAGCCGTTTTTGGAACATCTTCTTCGGTGATTCGTAGCTGATGATACCCCTCAGCTAAGTCCAGCGCACTGAACCACTGAGCTCCCTGGAGCCGATCGAACAGATCCTCAATTCGTGGTAGAGGGTATATGTTCTTCACCGTAATCTTGTTCAAGGCACGATAATCTACGCACATGCGTAATCCTCCGCCCTTCTTGTTAACGAACAAAATTGGTGCTCCGTAAGGGGATGCACTGGGTTCAATCCATCCTTTTCTGAGGTATTCCTCGATCTGTTGTTTGGCCTCTTCGTACTCAGCTGGACTGAGGCGATACAGAGGTCGAAAGGGTGGAACCTTTCCTGGTTCAACAGGGATGGTGTGACCCATTGCGCGGTCAGGCGGAAGTCCATCAGGGATGGTTTCAAACACTTCCTTGAATTCCTCTGCCAGTATTTTCATTTGAGGAGGGAAATCCTCAATTGCTGGCTCCGAGGCCTCGACATTCTCAAGCTGTACCACGAATAGTGTATCAGCCGACTTAACAGAATGCCCGAATTGGTTGGCCAACACACACAGCGCGCTGGGACGTTCAGGCGTCTGTGTTTCAGTGGGCAAAGTATCATTGACTTGTCACTGGATTGCCTTTCCGTTCTTGTTGAACGAGACAATGTTGTACTGGAAGTCCAGAATAACTTCGTTGGCTCTCAACCAATCCATGCCCAGGATGAGGTCGACTCCTGACAAAAGTGGTAGGACATATACGCGAACTGTTTCGCTATAGTCCTGTACTTTCATGTCGATATGTGTCTGTCCTTTACTTGGAATGACACGATCGTCACCCAAGCGGATGGGACACGACGGTCCTACAACGAGGACGTTGCGTATCGTAACCCAAGTTTCATCAACAAGGGAAACCGATGCGCCTGTATCGACGAGAATCCTTGCTTCGTCCCCATTCATGCGTCCAGATAACAGTAGATTCTGTTGAAATCTTGGACGGATGGGACAAGCGACAACAAGTTTAGGAGGTCGAAAGTACACCCTAAATTTGTTGTGAGCGCGTCCAAACCTTTGGGATGTGGTCCACCAAACATGGTGCCCCTTGTCCCATGTTGCCAGGATATGCCATTCGTGAAATCGGCGGAACAACTCTCCTTTCACGATTCGAGTCACCAATCCCACTGACGTGAGCGGGTGCTCTTGGACACAACGGTCCACAATATCCATGATTGCTGGCAACTCGTTGAACGAGCAAGAGATGATTGAAAATTTATCTCTCAAGGATTCAATTGAGATGTTTTCAAGTGGGTATGATCGAGTTTTAAAAACAGTTTTTTCATTAATAGAAGAGGCATACAAACAAGCGATTTTGCATGATGCAAGCTTCTCTAGCTTTAGCAAATCCTCATCACGAAGGACATAAGCCTCATCTACTCGATCTCGCTCACCAACTAGGTACCCACCCCCTAGTTGGACTTCGGAAAATCCTTCGGGCCCGAAGGGCCAGAACCATCCGGCTTCTTGCCCTGGTTGGGCTTGCCGGAGTTCTTGACGGACTTCCTCCAACGGCAGTGATAGGACTTGTGCCCGAGCTTGCCACAGATGCGGCAGCCTGCCGGGGGCTTATCCTCATCCTGAGGATCCTTGGCAGGCCCAGCATGGGCCCTCTTGGACTGAGTCCCAGAGGATTCCTCCTTCTGCTGATAGGGCCTCTTCCAAGAGCCACTGCCCCTGTGTGCCTGAGTCCTGTTACCACCCCCCCTAGGGCCTTCGGCACTAGGCTGCTGCTGAGCACGGGCGTGAGTCATGTACGCACGGAAATTCACATCCGTGTCAATGACCTGCTCCTTGCACTCCTTGTAGGTCCTCCACTGGTGCTCCCCGCGCACAACATGCACACGCTTGATGTGCTCAGGGAGACCCTTGAAGAACTGGTGGATGACCTCGCTCTCAGGAAGAGCAGTCTTCAGCAGCGACAGAGTTTTCTCAAACTCCTTGGCGTACTCGCATACAGGCTGGTCACCGCACTGGATGTTCTCCAGGCGGCTACGCACCTCGAGCGCCGGGGGCTGACTCAGGAATGCCGCCAGCATGGCAGCTTTGAACTCCTCCCAGCCAAAAGGATGGCCATTAGCCTCTGCGTGGCGCTTGTTGGCATACACCAACTTGCTCGCAGTGTCGTCCAGGGCAAGGGTTGCAGCGACCACACGAGCCTCGCTACGCACATTGTGGATGGACATAAAGTCCTCCGCAATGGAGAGCCAAGTCTCGACGTCGGTCTTGCCATGGACAAAACGAGGCAGGGCCGAAGGGCAGGAGCCAAAGGCAGTTGCTGCTGCAGTAGGAGGCTCAGCACGTGCTCCAGTAGGAGGAGGAACAGAAGGAGGTGTATCAGCAGGTGCAGCACGGCTGTTAGCGGCGTTGGCGACTCGCTCTGCTGCAGGAGCAGGCTGGTAGAGGTTTCCACGCCGGATCTCCCTGTACTGGGTCTGAAGCACAGAGATGCTTTTCTCCTGCTTCTTGAGCTGATCCTGCACGAACTGAAGAGTGTTGTGCAGGTCCTGAATGAGGCTGGAGGTGTCGTTTTCCTTAGGGATCAACTGCACCTCCCTGGTCAGCTGCTCAATCAAGGCCTGAAGCTTAACAGAATCAGCCTCCAAGTTCTGGATACGACACTGTTGCACTCCAATGAGAATATTCTGCTCCGTGAGTTGAGTCTGGAGCTTGACAGCAATGTTCTCAGTTTCATTGGAAACACCCTCATCAGAGCCAGCCTCTTCCTCATTTTCAGCATCAGCCTCAAGGTCAGCTTCACTTCCATTGATCTCCATGTCAACCACGAAATCCTCAAGGTTGAGATCAATGTCAGCAGCAGCAGCAGCATTATCTCCCTCAGTGCCAACAACGGGCACCTCCTTAGTAGCATCCATCTCTTGACCAGCAGCCATGAAACAGGTTAAGGAGAGGAGATCTCAACAGATCTTATAATAATCTTTAAGAAATCTGATTACTCTTATAGAATAATCAAATACAGAATCTCTTAAGATAGACTTGTTTGCCAAATCTCTCTATCACCTCAATGATAGAGCAAGATATACTCAAGAGAGTAATCCTCAACAAGCCCTTTATAGATCTGAAGGTACACTCTTCTACACAAAGTAGATCAAGAGTCTTCCACCAAAGGTGGGTAAGAGAAATTAATCTCTTCAAATTTCTTCTCAATGTTGATGAAGAAAAATGAGCTCTTTGTAGATCTTGAAGCTCCAATGGTGTGTTGAGGAGATTGAAGCTTGAAGCTTGGAGATCTTGTAGAAGCTTTTGTAGATCTTGAAGAACCACTTGTAGATCTTGAAATTTCTTCAAAATCTTCAAAGATCTTGATAGCTCCTTGGATGAAATCCTGGATCCACAAGCTAGGATCCTCTAAAAAAAATAGTCCAAGTAGCAAATGGCCACACAAGGCCAAGGAAGAACCTTGCTCTAGATACCAATGTAATGCCCAGGGCTATTATAATGGCGGTTACAAGGCTTTTATAATATTCCAATACAAAATAGTAGCTTTAACTAGCCTTAATAGCCTTGGAGATGAAGATCTTCTTGATGCCTTTGATGAAAAGCACTTGGAGTAGTAGTGTAGGGAGACTTGTGAGAGAGCCCAAAAGGACTTAGAGAAACAATCCCATTTCCAATTGTTTTGTTGGAGTGGGAGGTTGAGAATGAGCTTGCTTAGCTCAGACCCCCTCAATACACCCCTTGGGGAACTATCCCAACCATGGTTTCCATGGTGGGATGGTTCCTAGGCTTGGAGCCTATGTGGCAATTGTGTTGGGTTGGAAAACCCAACTTAGAACCATTCAATGGTTGTGTTTAGGATAGAGTAGATTGTAACACTTGTTTGGCAGTTTCTGATTGGTTGGAAATCCAACCTTCAACATTCTCTTGGTTGAGTTGGAAATGTTCCAAACCTCCAAAGTTGAGGCTTGGCAAACCCAAACCAAGTTTCATCCCAACCAACTCAACCATCTTCTCCAACTCTTCCTTTGTCGAGAGAAGTTCTCAACAATTGACTTAGAGAGAGATCGATGGTTGTTAGCTCGGTAGTTAGGGTAATACGTTACATCTACTATCCTAATGTACGATGACATCCCTATGTGATCCAATGCACGATATAGCTATCCGGGAGTCACTAAAATCTGGAAGGCTCACCGCGATCTCATGGAATTCCACGCCAGCACCCATGGAATCGGCTTACGGTAAAATAAATGACCAGCTGTGCTTCAAATCGATTTGGGTGGTGCCTGAATGTAAACTCAGATGTGACTTCAATACGCAGAGTTACTGTACATGAAGCATGCCTGACATCAATACCGTATGATATTTTAATCAACCCACGTATTTCGAATCATTTCAAGCAACACCTCGGAGAGGGTATAGCGCGCTGGTGAAACAGTGCGTACATTTGCCAACAATTCAATTTGCTTTCATCAACCCCCACCAAAATCTCACACACTAGCCAGATTGAATGTGTTCTCTTGCTCTAATGGGGGCCTGGCAAACAAAGTTGTGGATCGAACGGAAGTGGCAATGGCAAAACCCTACTGTGGCATGGTGCTGCTAACTCTAAGTGGTCCTGCAAACCCCAGTAGCACTTGGGAAGAGTACAGTAGAGTAGCAAACCCCATCACCCTGCATATGCAACTGATACCTTCCAGGCTGAACTACGAACTCCAACTTCGGCTCCTTCTGCCCGTGCCCCTGCTTCTGCTGCTGCTTCTGCTGCTGCTCCTTCTCCTGCTCCTGATCCTGCTTCCTCTTCTGCTTCTGCTTCTGCCCCTCCTGCTCTTGTCTCTGCTCCTGCTCCTGTCTCTGCTCCTGCTCCTGTCAGTGCTCCTGCTACTGTCTCTGCTCCTGCTCCTGTCTCTGCTCCTGCTCCTGTCTCTACTCCAGCTCCTACTCCTGTCCCTGTCCCTGCTCCTGCTCCTGCTCCTGCTCCTGATCCTGTCCCTGTCCCAGCTCCTGCTCCTGCTTCTGCTCCGGACTCGGTACCTAGCAGTAGCACGCCGGGTTTCCTCCAGCTTAGCTCGCTTCAACCTCTCCTGCTCCTCCTTCTTCGCTTTCTCTGCTGCTGTGTCCTTCTTCACTGCCACATACATCAATGTACAGGGGGAGAAGCACGGGAGAACAAACATGAGGGAGTAATTTTTGAAACGTCTCAAAATCACGGTGGAACAAACACGGGGGGCATGGGCCCAGGGCAAACGGAAATTCTGAGCACTGCCCTGCTATCTCGTACTTTTGTTAAACACACACAGCACCGCCTAGCACGGATCTACACGGCCTAATATGGCCCAATACGCCCCACCAAGGCCTAGCATGACTGAACACGCCTAACCACGCCCCCAACCTACTGTGTTTGTTCAGCTGCTTAGCCATCAACCGTTTTAGCCTCCCCTGTGATAATTCCAACGCCCCTCCCTGCACGTAGCAACATGTAAACCACCCTCCTTTCATCCCCTTCACCCCCAACCCACTTCACCCCCCTTCACACCCAATCTACTGTGTTTGTTGAGCTGCTTTGCCATCAGCCGCTTCAGCCTCTCCTGAGGGGTCTCCTTCGCCCCTCCCTCTGCTCCCTTGCCTGCTGCCCCCGCCACTCGAGGTAGTGAGGATGGCGCAAGCAAGCGACGGCTGTGCGGAGGACAGGTGGAATTGGAGGGACAGAGAGAAAGCGGGGAGAGAAGGAGGGGAAAGCGGGGAATGAGAAGAATTTGTACGTCGACTAAAGAATCAGTCTCTTTTGCCCCTCCCTCTGCTCCCTTGCCTGCCGCCCCTGCCACTCGAGGTACTGTGGATGGCACAAGCAAGCAATGGCTGTGGGGGGAAGAAATGGAGATTGAGGCGCGATGAAGAGAGCAATAGATTCACACAAGTTTCAGTACCCCTCGCTTCTCCCTCCGCTCAGTTGCCCGGCCCTGTCACACGAGGTAGTGTGTGTGGACGACACAATCAAGAGAGTGGGAGTTGGAAGAATCGGAATTGGATTCAGAAATAAAAAAAATGCGTTGCGTGCACGACGCAAGCGACTGACAGCTGTGGGGAAGACAGCAGGTTCCCACAACACCTGAGCAGCACAAGCAAACACCACACCATTAACCCACCTGACAGCTGGGGACTGCTTAGAAGAGGCAGGTGAAGGGCAGCCAACCAAGAAATCTCCACCACTTGAACCCTTCTCAAACCGCTCTCCACCGTACCCTCTCCTCCTCTCCTCCTCCCCTCTCCTCCTCTCCTCCTCCCCTCCTCTCCTCCTCTCCTTCTCCCTGCCAAAGCCCTCATCCTCACCCACACCCCCCCCAAACTGAGTGATAAACTCTATCCCGCCCTCCTTCTCCCCATCCCCTCTTGACCCCCTTCCCCCTGCTTCTTCCCCCCTGCCCCTATCCCTCTCCCTACTCCTCTCCTGCTCCCTATCCCTATCCCTATCCCTATCCCTATCCCTATCCCTATCCCTATCCCTATCCCTATCCCTATCCCTATCCCTGTCCCTGCTTCTGTCTAAATCCCTGTCCCACCTGTCCCCTTCCCTTCTCCTCTCCCTATCCCTATCCCAATCTCTTTCTCTCTCTCTGTCCCTCCCTCTGTCATCGTGCCCCCTCTGCCCCTCTGTGTGGCCCCCAACCCGCACCAACCCCTGCTGCTTCCATCCCTTCCCTTTCCCCTGCTGCTTCTTCCCCTCCCCCTTCCCCTGCGCTCCCCCTTCCTTCCCCTGCCGAGCAAGCTTCTTCCTCTCCTTGCGTGAAGGGCGCTGGTAAAGAGGGGAAGGTTTACCATAACACACGCCATGGGAGAGTGAATGGGAAAGTGGATGGACTTTTTAGGCGCCTAAAAAATCGCTGATAAAGAGGAGAAGGATTACCATAACACAGGGCATGGGAGAGTGAATGGGAAAGTAGATGGAAGAGCGAATGGGAGAACGGCACTAAAGCGTGGGGCCAATCAGATTTGTCATTCAGACGTCGAAATTAAACACAGACGCTCACTAAAATACTGCTATCATGACTCAACTCGGTTGTTGGAATTCGCTCACCGATTCATTGCCCGCCATCTGTCACAGCCTCTTCTCTTTCTCCAAGGCAGTGCCGCCCGTATTCCTCTATGCCGAACCGCTCCGCCATGTCTGCCAAACGCTGCCGCCCACTGGGAGACATCCACCCGTATTCCTCCACGTCTCCCACCTCACCCCCATCCCCCTCCTCTTCCTCCTCCTTGTCCTCCTCATCCTCTTCCTCCTCGTCCTCGTTACAGTCACCTGCGTTAATGTCATTGCTACCATACGAAAATGGCATGTTAGCATAAGCCCCCTTGCCTGCTGCTGGTGTTGCTGCGGATGCTGCTGCAGCAGCAGGCAGTTTTGGCCTGGGGTAAAGAACGAGGGAAGCGAGAAAGGAGAGGAGGAGAGTCCGATGGGTGACATGCAGCAATGGAAAGACGGGTAAAAGGAGGGACGCATAAGCCCCCTTGCCTGCTGCTGGTGTTGCAGCGGATGCTGCTGCAGCAGCAGGCAGAAAACGGAAGAGGGAAGGGAAAAAGGATCAGAGAGTAGCAAAAGCCAGAAGGGTAGCAGAAGCAGCAGGCAGTTTGGGCCTGGGGGGAACGGAAGAGGAAAGGGAGAAAGGATCAGAAGAGTAGCAAAAGCAGATAGTTTTGGCCTGGGGAAACGGAAGAGGGAAGGGAGAAAGGTTCAGACGAGCAGTAGCAGCAGGCAGTTTTGGCCTGGGGAAAACGGAAGAGGGAAGGGAGAAAGGTTCAGAAGGGTAGCAGAAGCAGCAGGCAAATTTGGTTTGGTAAAATGGAAAAGAGAAGAAAGAAAGGGTCAGAAGAGGCTGGTGGATGATAGGCAACCATGGAAAAGTGAATAAGAAGAGACACGAGACATCAGGTGCTACCTGTGAGGTGCAGGTGCTACCTGTGAGGTGAAGGTGCTACCTGTGAGGTGAAGGTGCTACCTGTGAGGTGAAGGTGCTACCTGTGAGGTGCAGGTGCTACCTGTGAGGTGAAGGTGCTACCTGTGAGGTGAAGGTGCTACCTGTGAGGGCAGGTGCTACCTGCGAGGGCAGGTGCTACTGACCTGTTGGCCTTGAGCTGAGCGTGGGCTCTAGCCTCCATCTCTCGCTCCACCTGCTGCAATCCCTCCTCCTCTGACTCTGCCATTGTCAACGTGGTCACGGATGGTGGTATATGGTGGGAGAGGAACGAATATCAGGAACCGATAACGAGTGGGACAACATGGGGGATGTCTCTTGCTCCACCTGCTGCAATCCCTCCTGCTCTGACTCTGGCATTGCAAACATCATGTCACAGATGGTGGTAAATGGTGGGAGAGAAATGATAAGAAACGGTTAACAACAAGTCGGACAATATGGGGGATATCTCTCGCTCCACCCGCTGCAATCCCTCCTCAGTACCGCTCACTCCCAGTTGCACATCGCCCCCTCCTGCTGCTCCGCTAACTCCCTCAATACACGGGAAAGGCTACTCACTTGCATGCCAGCCCAATCGCACGAGATCCCGGTATCGCTCCTCCTCCTCTTGCTGCTCTGTCAACTCCCTCGCCCCATGCCTGTGCGGATCATACTCCCGAATGCAATCCAGCATGGCTCGCCCGTCATACCTGTGCCAGCAAACGGTCAATGGTGGTGGAAATGAGTAGGGGTGGGTGGGTGGGAGATGCACTTCAGATACATAAGTGTCACGAAATAGGCACACAGGAATGACATGTTAGACTGCTAAGAGCAGTCATTGTTGTCAGGCATGTCAAGTTGACAAGGACCAGCAGCAGCAGCGACACGTTCTATACAGCACACCTTAAGATGTCCCATGATAATACATGCATGCCTATGAACATGCAATCTCACCCACGCACCTGTCTATGAGTGTGTCCCCTCTGTTGTTCCATGGAATGCTGTAGGCAGTCGAGCAGATTGGAAGGGAATGCACAGCAGTCCACCAGACCAGAGAGAGGAGAGAGAAGCACGAAGTACAGGGCACAGCCAAGGGAGAGAGGAGCAGCCAAAAACAGCAAAGCGAGAGGCGCATAGGGAAGCGCAGTGCAGAGGAAAGTGAGGTGCAGAGGAGAGAAAGAAAGGAAAGGCAGCAGGAGGGCAAGAAATGGAGGGGCATTAGGGTAGCGGAACACGTGATACAAAGTCTCAATGCATAGCATAAATTGTTATCGACAGGAAACAAAAATCTAGACCTCCACGAAGTGAGTCCGTGGAGCCAACCAGGTCAGCGGTATGTCTATCAGGCGATGACTAGCCTTGGCGCGAAGTAAGTCAATGGGGGGGAGGGGGTCACAGACAGGCCGCTAAATCCAGGGTGGAAGGGTGGAAAGGAGAAGCATCACACAGTCAGGCCTCTATTCCGTGAATCCAAGGAAGGTGGGGGGATAGGGGGTCACAGACAGGCCGGAGAGGTCCTGCGCGGACTGGTAGACGGCGGAGTCGTGCAGGCAGGCGGAGCTTGTGCCCGCCACGCGCAGCAGCTGCGTCGGATCCCCCGCGCGCCGAGACCGCTGATCCGCGAGCCGCTCGGCGCGCTTCTTCGCCGCGTCCATCATCTCGTGCACGCGCTTCTCCGACCGCCGCGCCTCGTGCCACATGATGGCGGCGCGCGCTCCGATGTTCCTAGGCTCGTGATTTAGACTGCAAAGAAAAAGAAGAAAAACTCTGTTCCTAAGCTCGTTTTGGTCTCGAAGAGGAAAACGTACGATCAGAACTGCACTATTACGAGATGCACGCGTATCGAGGATAAGATGCGATGATCTCGTCGCAGTCTATCCTACGTGTGTTGTGACAAGACGGACGAACTAGACGTGCGAAAAAAAAAACTGTTTTCCCTTAGCAATGTGTACCAGCCGAATTTCGCTAGGGGATCGTTTCAACCAAATCGAATACCTTGGTTCGGTTTCGTGCTTTTCTCCGATGGTGGTCTCGCACTCATTTCGCTACGGCGAAAAACGGCACCTCGCTAGCCGAACGGCTCTTGTTGGCGACAACGCGAATTATGATTCGAAACCTGATGAACAGATTGCATGTACCTTGCGATGGATCAACCACAGTTACAGTTTCTGGCGAAAATAGCATCAGCAGCTCGCTCGTTCGGTCATTTCCCAGGTACACACAAAAGAGCTCACCTCGAGAATCCCCAAGGCTGACGATGGGGGAGATCGAGAAGGAAAGAAAGCATCTGCTTAGAACCTATCTCAACCACTGTTGATACTTATTTGAGCGTTAGTAAACGCACAACACCTGATGAAGCCGCACTCCTTGACATTTGTGATCGTCACACTGGTCTCATCGGTACCCCCTGAGGACGAGCCCAGTTCTTCAAGATTGAAGCAGAGCAGTTCGCACTACACACAGCAGGTAGATGCTAGCTAGAATAGTAGCTCGAGGCATCAATCATCCACCGAGAACGTGTTTTCCGATAGTCGTCATATTTCGATTATCGAATCCGTACAGGCGAATTGTGACTTCACGGTTCGCGTCACTAGCCAGCCAAGCTTAGCGAGGGTCCGGCATACACGAACAGGTCAACAAATTCTACGAATGCTACGGAAAGGAATTCATGAACGTTCACGCCGCCTCGCGTAGATCAGCCCGCCGTTGGATATGGCTAGTCCTACCTCATACGTCACGGCCATTTGTCGGTTCGATTCCCAGATTTACTACTTCTGAGGCATCTCAAACGCACCGAATCGCATCGCGATCTTATGTTCCTTTCTTGCCGAGCCTCGATCGGATCGGATCGAATCGAAACGAACCTGCGCGAAACCCGTCTTTTCAACTCCGAAACCCAGGCCGAAGCTTCGAGGCACCTCAAGAGACCTTTTCATCCCAAGTTCGAAGCTTCGCCGCATGGTCTGCCGCTGGTGCGTCTTCCAGGCCAGCAGACGCAGAAGCGACCGAGGCACAGACTGTTATCTCTGGGTCAAAATCACTTCCCAGAAGCAAGCCTCTAGTAGCGGTGCAAGCGGACCTTAAAACGCGTACAGTGAAGGACGAGGAGAGGAGGGATGGGGGAGGAGGTCAGAGGAGCATCACGAAAGTGGAAGGGGGAGAAAAGGGAGGTGGGGATGAGAGGGTTGAGAGGGTAATAGCAGGGAATGCAGCGGGGAAGGGTGAGGGAGGCAAGAGGAAAAGCTACGGGAGGAAAGGCTGCAGGGAGGAGGAGGAGGAGGAGGAGGCAGTGGCAGTGATTGCTGGAGTGCTGAGGGAGAAATTCGGGCCTCAAATTGTGAGAGGGGAGGAGGGGGAGTGGGAGACTGATATAGGAAGCAGTGGGGACAAATTGGTCATGGGAACAGTGAAAGAGGCGGCAGAAGAAGAGGGGGAAAATGAGGAGGAGGAAGAGGAGGAGGAAGGGGGTGTGGAAGGATTCGGGGAGGAAGCAGAAGCAGAAGCAGAAGCGAGTGAGGAGCTAAGTTGCAAAATACGCTTATAGCGTATATACGCGTATCGTATATACGCTAGCGTATATACGCTATACGCGGAAGGGAGCGATTTGGACATACGCTTTTTGGGGCAGGGAAAAAACTTTCCCGGGCAGGGAAAAAATCCGCCCGGGCTATTATACGGGGGGGGGGATCTAAGGGGTTATGTTTCAGAGGTAAGTTTTTCTCCATACTAAGATAACCACCCTCGACTCGGCCCGAAATCGGGTTAAGATACAGAGTTCGTAGGCTATAGACTGCAATAGCGTTGCGCGAATCTGCTCTGCTTCGGGCTCGCAATCACAAGGCATGATTGCTAGAGTGTAGGAGGAGGCGTAGGAGAGATCCTGGACAGGGAAACCATCGCCAATGTTGGAATTCGTGCCCCACACCCATCGCCAATGTTGCCTCCAACCAATTCCCCCTCTCATCACCTATCTTCACCGCATTGCATCTATCTCATCCAACCAATTCGATATTTGAAATTTGTACAGTCGTCACGTCACTTCCTTCCAGATCTACAAGACGTTGATCTAGGGAGAGTCTTTCCCCCTATACCTTCTGCGGGAAGAACCTTCGATCCGCGCGGATCTGCGGGGAAGGGAAATTGCCGATCAGCGCGGAAATCGCCGTTCACTCTTGCACAAATCGCGGACGTGAATTTTGACGGTGGCAAAATGCTCGTCGCGCAATTCCGCATCTTTCCGTATATTCACATTTTTTTCGGACGGGCTGCCCCAAAAAAAATTGGCAAGCGTATAGCGTATTAGCTTGCGTTTAGCGTTTAGCGTGTAAACGCTAGCGTATATCCGCTAAACGCACACTGTCCTGAGCGTATTTTGCAACTTAGGTGAGGAGGACGCACCATTCACCACATCTCCTCCCACACCTCCTCCTCCACTGAACAGCCCGCGGGTCGTGTCTCCCTCCTCCCTCCTCTCCCTCTACCGCTTCTTCTCTTCCCACCTCGGCATCTCTTCCCCTTCCACTATCGCTTCCCTCCTCGCCACTTACCCGCAACTCCTCCGCTCCAATCCCACCAATGACTTCCTGCCACGTGTCCGTCTCCTCCAATCGTACGGCATATCTCATGCTGACCTCGTCCACATCACAGTGAGAGAACCAGCCTGGCTCCGAGTCTCCCTGCCACGGATTCAAAACACCCTTGAGTTTATCTTGGCTCAAGGCGTCCGCCGTAGCAAATTGGGCTCAGTGCTCCGACGTGGATGGGGCTTACTCTGCAGGGATGCACGTTCAACGAACCTGGATATTCTGGTGGAGAGAGCAGGGGTTCCTGTGGACAAGCTGGGTGGGATTATAGAGCAATGTCCGCCGATCTTGACTCGGAGCAAAGAGGCGGTGAATACTCGGCTCGACACGTTATCAGTTTTTTTCCAGTCGGGATCTGGAAGGGAGGCAGAAGCGGATAGCTCCAACACAGGCCACTTGAAGCAGCGACTAGATGAGCCGCATTTGGACAGGAGCCACCTATGTAGGGTTATTGTGAGTTTTCCAAATATCCTCTGTTCTTCGTCCCACCGCATTGTAGAGAATATCAGCATTACTCGTTGGTTCTGCAACTATCGACGGAGAACCTGCAAGGCAAGCTGGCGGTGTTGGTTGATTTGATTGGCCGAGAGAATGCTGTGCGGGCGGTCGCACAATTTCCTTTGCTAATCGCGTCTAGTGAAGATGTCATAAAGGAAAGCTTTAAAGAGCTTGTGCGAGAAGTGGAGGAGGCATTTGAGGGCAGTGGAAAAGCAGGAAATGGGATGCAAAGGTTGGGGGACGATGAGAGAGGTAATTGCTTGGTAGGGGAAAATGAGTATCGAGCACCAAATGCCAAGAGATGCAGGGCTCGTCGGTTGGTGGTGGATTTGGTTGTGAGGTACCCGTCGTCCATCTATTACAGTTGGAAAACGAACCTGAAGCCCAAGCTGGAGTACTTAAAACGGGACATGGGGCTCTCTATAATGGAGGTGCTTGCCTTTCCTCTCCTTCTTGGGTACAGTTTGGACCGGCGAATCAGACCGCGGCATGTGGCACTTGTGCGAATGGGCTATGCGGTTGTGGCTTACGAGATGGTTTATCGGACGAGTATTGAAGGTGGGAGGGATGTTTCGATTGAAGCTGCGAAACAGAGGAGCAAGCGGGGTTCTGTTTCCTCGATTTCTGACGAAGTGAAGGGAGTAGAGGGGAATGTTTGGGGAGCGGAAAGCAGAAAGAGCGAAAGAACGGGTGACAGGCAAGAGCTGCAGTGCGGTTTGAAGGATGGTGTTAGTGAACAGCTGCTTGAGGAATGCCGAGGCAATCACGAGCCAGGGGGAAGAGCTACTACAGAGCAGCAGCTTCTGAATTTGGAGGCGTCAAAGAAGATCGTATGCTTGCGGCAGTTTCTCCAATGTTCAGACAAGAAGTTTGAGAAGAAGTTTGGAGTCCAACTGTAGGGCTGGTGGTGGTGATAGGCTTCTGAGGCTTTTAATGTGTGATAGTGTACAATCTTATGGGGATGGGGAGAGGGGAGTGTTAGCAGGGAGAAACGATAGCTGGTGGAAGGCGGTTGTGGCAGGGGCGGTAGGGGGTCCTGTTCTATGGGCTCTGCTGTTCTATGGGCTCTGCTGTTCTCTCTAGTTTCTCTTGAAACAGGTGCTGGAGGGGAGGGGTATTAGCAGAACTAGCAGCAGCGGCAGGAGCAGCAGGAGGAGGCGGAGGGGATAGTGTGAGTGCCACAGCCTTGTTGCTGGGCCTCATGGGACCGGAGGGGGCGTGGCTGCTACAGCTGCCTCTGCTACAGCTGTCACTGCTACAGCTGCCACTGCTACAGCTGCCTCTGCTACAGCTGCCTCTGCTACAGATTTTGCGGCCCTCCCCCTGGTGGACCTGCTACAGCTGTTCCTGTGGGTGGCGGTGTCGCAGGCTGTAGCAGAGGAGCTGCTGTTCACGGCCCTGCAAGGGAGGCTCGGCAGGTGAGAGGCAGGCTAGTGGGAGGCTCGGAAGGGAGGTTTGGCAAGGCCGCGCCTCCACCTGCTGCCTTTTTTCTGGGTTTGGTCATTTCCACACGTCCCCATGCACACACTCTTTCCCAGCAATCCAGTTCCACTTTCTTGTTCTTTCTTACCCTTGCCTGTCATGATACATCTCAGCCTGTCATGGTACATCTCAGCCTGTCATGGTACATCACAGAACTGAAGTCAATAAGTCAACGCAAATCAAGCTAGTCAACTCAAGTCTTGTTAACTCAAGTATTGTTCGACGCTGTCATGCTCTCTGCTGCCCTCTCCGCCCTCTTCCACCTCTCCCTGTCGCTCCTATTACCCAACATGGCCCTTGGGATTGCCGCCGGCCTGATCATCGTCTACTCCAATAACGTGCTGCCAGCTGTCACCCTGCATACCGCTTACAATGCATCTGCCTTTCTATGCACTCATGGCAATGGCTGCTGCTTCTGTTTAGCAAGGAAGAGCTAGCCTTTTCGTCGATGTCTTTCGATATGTTTCGGTCAGAGCACATTGCACAGAAATATATGTGCCGGACCACATCAACCACTCTCTTCAGAAATCGCCATTGCATCAACCACTGGAAAACACAAGACATGACATGGCAACCTACAGCAGCAAGGTTACTTACTGCTTGTGGGGGCATACGGTATTAGGCACCTTAGGAGTAGTAATCTTTGAAAAACGCGTGACGAACTATGGCAGCAGGTTTACTGCTTGTGGCGGCATATGAGGCGCCTTAGAAGTAATCCCTGAGAACTGCATGAGGAACTACAGCAGCAAGGCTACTAGTGCAAGGTATGCGGTGCAGCTGCTGTGTCCCGTGCCCAAGAGGGAGCAAGTGAGGCTGTGCATGCGGCTACACATTGTCAATCACAACGCCCCGAGAGGCCAGTCAACCAGTCCGTGCAGATCAAAGTGCAACATGAAGGCTACTAGCGCAGGGAATGTGATGGTTGTGCCCCGTGCCCAAGGGGCCAAGCATGAGTGTGAGGGAGCAAGTGCGGCTGTGTGTGCGGCTCCACATTGTCAATCACAACGCCCCGAGCCGCCAGCCACTCCCGGCAGTGCTCCCGAACCTTGGGTGCGTTCCGAGCCTCGTGCATGATGAAAATCACATCATTGATGCGACTCTGTAGCGGGTACACCGGCCCAAACCCACCCCCACCGCTGCTGCTGCCGCCGCCACCAGTGCTGCTGCTGCTGCCGCTGGTGCAGACAGTAGCAGCCACGCCTCCCTGGCCGCCTTGAGGCTGGAAGTGCCCCGTGGCGATCTGAAAGGCCAGGCGGAGCCTGCGACATGCCACGTTGAAGAGCACCTTCCTGGAAGGTGCGGGGGATTGGGGGAATACCAGGGAAGGCATGCAAGCATGGTGTGCAGTCAGTACCGGTGGCCACGCCCCCCTGGATGGTTCGAGACTGGAAGTGCCCCGTGGCGATCTGAAAGGCCAGGCGCAGCCTGCGACACACCACGTTGAAGAGCACCTTCCTGGAAGGTGGGGTTTGAAGAGGCATGAGCAGGTGGGTTACAGGAGTAAGCTCAAACCTAGTTATGCTAACAGACTCACTTCAGGAAAAAGGCTAACCGGTACTTTACTAAGTGACTTAATTGTGCATGTAGATGACATCATGGACAAAAAAAAAAAAAGAATTTAACTAACAGACATACTTATGCTCGTCTGACAGCATGTGGATGAGTCGGTCGATCTGCTCCTTGGGCAGCTTCACAGATCGGGACATGTCTTGCCGCCCGGTGAAGGTCAGGGAGAGATTTGAGAGCTTGACGGCGGTGTGGGTGTAGACCATCACTGCTGCTCCAATCACCTGTGGACACGTGTGCATTTGATGGGAGGAGGGGCAAATCGACAGAGGAGGATCAGGCTTGAGAGCGAGATTCGGGAACAAGTTTGAGAAGTGAGGCTCGGCAGTGCGGTTCGGAAGTTTCGGAAACACATACAAACCCACCCTGCACAGGAGGTCCGTACTTGTTTTGTTTCCATCCACCCTCAGAGAGAGTAGTACTACATAAAATCGGGCGTCAACTCATGCATGTCAGCAGGCCACCGCATGCACTAGATGATAAAAACCATGCGAAATCCAGATGATGAGCTGCTAGCGAGTTGGCCTCCAGACCAGATTTACACTTCAAATTACTACAGACAGACTGCGTTTCTCACCTCATCCATATCCGCTGGTGGCAGGCAGCAGCACCTCATCATCTGCCCTCAACTCCGCGTGCTGTTTAAAGGGCTGGTCGTGGATCGTGTCTCACCTCATCCATGTCAGCGGGCGGCAGCATGTACTTGATTCGATCCATGAGCCCTTCAAACAGCACGCGGTGCTGCTGCTTCTCCGCCAGCGAGGCTGCCACGCTGGCGTAGATCTGCACGGCTGGCAGGTGCAGGAAGTTTATCACCTCCAGTGCCAGGTCAAACTCGCGCTCCACGAGAAATTCGGTCACTTCCACACGGCGCCTGTTAGTGGGGAAGAAGGGGGGGCGAGCGACACAGAGAAATCAGCAGGTGCACGGCTGGCAGGTGCAGGAAGTCAATCACCTCGAGTTGAGCACCAGGTCAAATTCCCGTTGCACCAGGAACTCTGTCACTTCCACACGCCGACTGTCAGTGTGTGTGGGGAGAGAAAGGCAAAAAGGGCAAAGGAATATTGCTTGCACATCAGCTGGCGGACAGATCTGCACAGCTGGCAGGTGCAGAGCGCCAAATCAATTTCCCGTTCCACCAGAAACTCTGTCGCTTCTACTCGCCGCCTGTCAGTGGGGGAGGAGAATGGCAAAATGGGGAAAGGAAAGGAATGTTGCACATCAGATCAGGTGGTGGATAAATCTGCACTGCTGGCAGGTGCAGTGCAGGAAGTGGAAGTTGATCACCTCTAGTGCCAGCCTGCCAGGTTGCACTCTCGCTTCACTAGGAATTCTGTCACTCACCTCCACACGCTGCCTGTCAGTCAATGGGAGGGTGACAAGGGGGGATATAGCACATCAGCTGGAAACCAGATCTGCACAGCTGGTAGGTGCAGGAAGTTGATCACCTCCAGCGCCAGGTCAAACTCTCTCTCCACCAGAAACTCTGTCACTTCCACACGGCGCCTGTCAGCGGGGGGTAGGGAGAGTGGCATCATGAGGAATGTGCAGGAAGGAAGTTGATCACCTCCAGCGCCATGTCAAACTCGTGCTCCACTAGGAATTGTCACCTCCACACGGCTCCTGTCGGTGGAAGAGGGGGAGGGGGGAAGGAAAAAAGGGAAGGCGGCGGGGTGAGGAAATATGGTGAATAGATCTGCACGGCTGTGCAGAAAGTTGATCACCTCCAGCACCAGGTCAAATCAAACTCTCGCTCCACTAGGAACTCTGTCACTTCCACACGGTGCCTACTGGTGGGGGAGAAGGAGAGAAAAGAAAATCAGGGTCATAATGAGCCAGTGAGTCTGCTGCACAGGTGCAGTGAATGCACACAGCACAGGTGAAGGGATTCGATAACCTCTAGCGCCAGATCAAACTCGCGCTCCACTGGCGTGTGGCGCTCCACCAAAGACTCTGTCATTTCATTTCCACTCGATCCACTGGCTCACGCACTCTTCAATCTCACACCCCATCTAACACAATCACCCGCCACCAACTCACGTGCTGGTCCTGCCATCACTGGGGGCCCCAAACAGAGCCTCTTCCTGGCAGGCAGGCACCAGAGGCACCACGCCGCTGCCCCTCGCGCTTGTTCGCGCGCACACACGCACACAAAACACACACACATACACTCTCTCAAACAGCCATTCACTTGCTCGTCCTGCCATCGCCGGGAGCACCGAACAGCGCCACACTCCACGGCGCCTTCCGGACTCAAAGATATTACACCATCTCTCTCCTCTCTAACCCCACCTCACACTCTCAACCTCCACCCACTCACTTGCTCGTCCTGCCATCGCTGGGAGCACCAAACAGAGCCACGCTCCAAGGGGCCTTCCTGGCAGCCCCCACGAGAGGCACGCCGCTGCTGTCCCTGCCACTGCACGCCCCCACCACCCGCACCACCTCCACCTGCAGCTCTGCCAGCCGCTGCAGCCTCAGCAGATCTTCATCTGAGATCTTTGCTGTCGCCGACCGCTGCTTGGCAATCAGCGCCACGCTGGTGGTAGTGCTGCTGCTGTTGCTGCTGCCGCCACTGCTGCTGGTACCGGCTCCAGATATACCTGCTCCTCCTCCTGCAGATGCGCCTGCACCAGTACCACCTGCACCAGCAGCGCCAGCACCGGCAGCAGCAGCACCCGCAGCAGCAGCACCCGCAGCAGCAGCACCCGCAGCAGCAGCAGCAGCGGAGGAAGAGGAGGCGGCAGAGATGGCAAGTCTCTTGCCGGCTGCAGCAAGAGGGCCGATCGATGCTGCCAGGTCTGCTGCTGCGTTCTGCCTGGCCTCCGTGCCCTTCTCAAAGAGCAGCTGAGGAGGGGCATGCGGGAAGGAAGGGTCACGCAGACACATAAAAGTGAATCTGGGCATGGCATGTAAATGTTGCGAAACCACCCACCCAGACACACAGACACCAAAAGTGAGACAGACGAAGGGCCAGCTCCAACCAGCTGAATCAAACCTGCGACCGGTTTCAGCTGGAACTGCCTTGGCCCACCCACCTGTGCCTGCTGCAGGTGTGTTGCTGCGGTGCGAAGATCGGGCGAGTAGAGGAAGAGCTGGATGCTGCACAGCCCTGCTGCCACGTAGTCCCTGGCTAGCAGCTGAGAGAAGAAGGGGGGGAGAGTGGAGTGGAGCGGAACGAGGAAGAACAGAAAGACTGGATTAGCCAGGGAGGTTTGGATGATGTTACATTGTCCTTCGCTACAAGCTGACGAAGAGAGGGAAAGGTAAAAGGGGCAATTGGTTCATCGGCCTAAAAGCAGAGAAGAGGCATTCTTCCTGTCTGCTACACGGTGTTGCTCCTTGGCCCATGTTTGAGATAGGTAAGAATACACAGCTCGGGCTAACTTGGTCTCACCACAAATAAAAGAGAAGGCTTTTTTTTTTCTTTTTCCTTTTTATCATTATTATTTATGTATTTCGAAGGTGGGGGATTGAAAGCAAGAGGAAGCGGCTGCGAAAAAGGGACGAGTGTTGCTTACAAGGAACGGGGAGAGGAAGAGAAAACAGAGAAAGGGACAAATGGGGCTCACGAGGAATCGGAAGAGGAAGTGGAAGTTCTTTTGAGATTCGAAGAATGTGCAGATGCGGGAAAGAGCCGCCAGGCACTTGACATTGCCACTCGCCCATGCTGCTGACGCTGGCAATGCTGCTGCTGTTGCAACAGACAGATCACCACCAGCAGCACCACCATTCGCTCCTCCTGCTCCTAGCGCCTCTGCCACCACTCTTTCCAGCTCCTCAAGTGCTCCGTACGACACACACAGCGCGCACAGCTCTTCTACAGTAGCGTACTCTGACTTTAACGGATCCCAGTCTAATAACGAGGACAGGGTGGGGCGAGCCGGGCTGAGTGAAAAAGCGGGTGGTTGAGGGGCCAAGGGGTTTGAGAGAGTGGTGGTCGCGGTGGTGGTGGTGGTGCTGCTGCTGCCGTGCTCGGGTGTGGACGAGAGAGAGGGGGAGGAAGAGGAGGATGGACGGGGAGGAGGAGGTGGAGGGGGGAAGAAGAGGAGCCAGCAGGCAGAGCGGTAGCGGCCGTGTCTGAACATGAAGGGGAGGAGATCCCGAGGGGCATGCTGCAGGGGAGATGGGTGGGCAGGTGGATAGCGAGGGCAGACAAACAGAGTAAGTTGGGCAGGCATGAGCAAGCAAGGCAGGTGAGTACGAGTAATGGGAGAAAGCAACGAGGAGCGAACCGACTTCTGAGCGGACTCAAAAGGTATGAGCAAGGCAGACAGGTGAGAGTAATGGGAGAAAAAATCATGGAGTGAGGAGAGGAGTGAGATCATTTTGATAAGCCACTGTTCAAGACCTTGAAAGCAGGTAGCAAAATACATGCAACTTCCAGAAAAAAAGGATCAAAGCCGACTTGAGAGAAGTCTCTAAAGAGAATATTAGAGTTCTAAACAACCGTGCGCAACCGCTCTGTTGATTTTCTGAAATAAGCGATGAAAAAGCAAGAAACCACTCACTTTCTTGAGCAGCTGAGTGCACTCGTTGAACCTCTCATCATCCAAGTAAGAAAACGTCTCCCTCTCTTCATCCTCCACCACTGCAACTCCCTCTCCCTGCCCCTCCATTCGCTCCTCGTTCCCTTCTCCCTGCCCCTCCTCTTGCCTTCTGAACTCCCCTTCTCCCTGCCCTGACCAGGCCGGACCCTGCGCCTCAAACGCTGACTGACGGGCATATGTTAATCGTTCTTGTCCTCCCCCCTTTCTCCCGTCGTCATAAGACAATGTAGCAGGAGGAGGCATGGATCCCAGGATCGGCGAAACACCCGCAGAAGTGGCAGCAGCAGGAGCGGGACCGGAAGGAGTGTTGTTAGTGGCACCGAATGCAGGTGCTGGGAGTGGTGCTAAGGAGGATGGGCGGGAGGAGGAGGAGGTGGAGGAGGAGGAGGGGCGGAGAGTGGGAGAGCTGAAGAGTGAGGAGGTGGAGGTGAGAGCACCCAGGTATGACTCTGCTGTGAGGGAGTCTTGGAAAGAGTCGGCCACTGCCTTCTCTGTTTGGGATAGGCTGCAAAGTGAGGGGTGGGATGGGATGGGATGGGATGGAAGAGGTGGGCATGGGAGTGAAAGAAGGAAGACGATGGTATGAGACCGCTGGGAGTGCACCCAGGTAGGACTCTGCTCTGCTGTGAGGGAGTCCTGAAAGGAACCTGCCACTGCCTTTTCTGTTTGGGATAGGCTGAGAAGTGGGATGGAAGGAATGGACGAGGGAATGAAAAAGGGTAATGTGGTGGTGATCGGAGTGAGAGAAGGAAGATGCAGTATGAGATGGATGATGAGGCATCCATGTAGGACTCTGCTGTTGTGATGTGAGGCATTGATTTTATGATTCGCTACACAATTGTTTTCCTCCATCTCTCTATAAGACAGGTGCTGGTGAGAAATACAGAAAATAGATTGTATTACTGACCCAGATAAAGGTTAAAAAATGCAATGAGCCCCCAGCTGCATGGCAAGCACATAAAGTTACATGATAATACGTAACGTTATACGGCGATATGATAAGGTACTAAACCTGCAAAGAGATTCAAATAGTAAACCAATCAGGTGTCACTCCTATGTAATGCACACTTACAGCAGCTGAGTGCCGGGCACATCGGCAGGAATGCAGGTCTCAATGAATCGTACCACTTCCCGTGCCACCACTGCCATCCTCTCCCCTCCTCCCCCTCCTCCAACCACTCCTTCTCCCACTCCCACTCCTCCCGTTTTTCCCGCTCCTAGCACCGCTCCCTGTGAACTCGCAGCAGCTGCAGCAGAGGAAGAGGAGGTGGAGGAGGAGGAAACGCGCCTGCCAGACGTGCTTGCAGCAGCAGCAGCAGCAGCAGCAGCAGCAGCAGGAGCGGTGGTTGGAGTAGAAGAGGAGGTTGGGTTGAGGAAGAGGAAGAGTCGCCTGGAGTGGGGAGAGAAGAAAGGGGGGAAACGGAAGAGGGGTAGAGTGGCAGTTCTTCCTTAGCTCACTTACACAATGACTTATGAGAATTCTCAACCGTTAATCCAGCATTGCACACACAATGGCCTGATATGACAAGCCTTACGCGGGCATTACGAGGTAGAGTTGGCTTGGATTTGCGAAAACCGACTGTCATCAACCACTCAGCTTGACTCACTCTAGGATATGCCGGGCCTGGGTGTAGTTCTTCACTCGAATGAGAGACATCGCCCATGCCTTGTACACAGGACATGGGTTCACATGATGACACGTGTCACACAGAGCAGCAGCCAGCTCATAACACTCCTCCTTCACCAACCCGTCCCTAAGCGCCAGGGTCGCGGATAGCGACGCCTCCCGAGCCTCTGCTTCTGCTTCGGGATGCAGCCGGGGCTGTGCCGAGCCGTGCCGGTGCTGTTGCTGCTGCATCGACCTCGGTTGCTGCTGCTGCTGTTGCGTCGGCCTTGGCTGCTGCTGCTGCTGCTGCTGCCGCCACTGCTGGTGCGGCTGCTGCTGCTGTTGCATCTCAGCGCTACGACCAGTAACTCCACCCCAGCCCATGTCTCCTCCCCCTCCCCCTCCTCCTCCCCTTCCCACTGCCACACCCCTCTCCTCTCCTCCTCCCATCACTGAGTGAATGTATAGAGAGGCAAACAACCCAGGAGAACCAGGCTGGAAGTCAGGGTCACCCCCACCAAGCTCGTCAATCCCCACCCCCACATTGTCCGCCAGGAACCTTCTCAGAAGCTTCACCCGTGCAATCCACGCCTCTGCTCGTCCCAGCAGCTGCTTCAGCGTCTTCAGCTGTGCCCGAACCTGCGCCGGATCTCGCCCCCGAACCTGCGCGGAGCCTCTCGAACGAACCTGGGCGGGAGGTTCGCGTGCCGAGCCTGTGCTTCGGGTGGCAGGTCCAAAATTAACAAGCTGCGCCTGGTATGCCAAGAGCATGCCCCTCACAATGGTGAGTGCCTGTAGATGAAGGGAAGGAACAGAGGAAGCAGCTTTTGAGTCGACTCGAAAAGCGTGGGAACAGGTGATTTCTAATTGACTCCTATGGCTGTTTTCAGTGCTTCTGGTCCTGAATCTCATTCCTTACTCTCCCTTCGCTCCGTATCCCTTACCCCCCCCCCCCCCCCCCCCTCACTCACTTTGAGGTAGGCTTTCGAATAGAAAGCCGTCTGAGTCAGCGACAGCAGGCTGGTGCCACGTGGCACACTCTCCTTGGCCAACGCCACGCCAGCCTGCTCCACCACCACTGCCAGCAGCCCTTTCAGCACCGAGAATCTTCTCGAACACAGCGAAGCAAGCGACTGGAACAGCGAGATATCTGGTGTGTCTGGAAACACATGAAGCGCTCTCGTTTCACCATCCCGCGTCTCTTCCCCTATCAAGATCGCTCCTTGCTGTATGTCCCGCGCTCCTAGCCTCCCCATTGCCTCCTCCTCTCCCTCCTCGCCTTCCCCGCCTCCACTACCCCCCTCGCACACCTCGTCCAATCCCGTGCGGCCACCTGGCAGGTACCCGACAGGCCGGCCAATCAGCTCGGGGAGAGACATGGAGCTTATTGTAACAGCGGATTTTAGATGCCGCCCGGAAGCTTCCAAGTGGGCGGCAGCACCTCTAGCAGCTGTGGCGGCTGTAGCGGTACCTGTGCCATGCGGCTGGTTCAGTGAACCTGGACGTGGGCTGGTTTGCAGGCTGGCAGTGCCGCTGCTGATTGTCCTGCCTGGCGTGCCAAAACGGGCTGCACCAGCAGCAGTACCAGCAACAGCACCAGCACTGGCAGCAGCGGCACCACTGCAACTAGCAGCAGCAGCATGAGAGGCAGGGTGAGAAGCAGTAGTACGAGCAGGAGAATCCAGAGAAATGGAGGATGAAAGTCGTGACTTTGCTGCCTCTGCAAGTGTCGGCGGGCGATCCACCCCCACTGTTCCCCCACTCCCTTTCCCCACTCCTACTCCCACTCCTGCTCCTCCTCCTCCTCCTCCTCCTACTCTTCCTCCTCCTACCCCTCCAAACCCCGAAGCACCACGCGGCGATGGCACAGGGCTGGCAAACGGTGGAGTATTGGAAGCAGCAGCAGCAGAGGAGGAGGAGGAGGAAGCAGAAGCACCCCAGGGGAAGACACGGGAGGCTTGCTGCTGAATACGCAGAAAGCTGCTGGTGATGGGTGCAGGGGGGACGGAGGGCGGACGGGGTATGGAGGAGGAGGAGCGGAGGGAGTGCTGGTGGGGGAGAGGAGGAGGAGGGGGAGGAGGGGGGGAGGTGGCAGATGGGTGGGCGGTGGAGGGAGAGGAAGAGGCGAAGGCGGAGGAGGAAGAGGAGGAGGGGGGGGAGAGGGGGGAGGGGATGAGGGCTGTGCGTGCGTAGGAGAGGAGGAGAGTGTCGTTGCGTAGGGCTGGGAACTTGGCGAAGATCTGCCAGAGGCGCAGGAAGAAGGGGTGACAGAGAATAGATTCTGAGAAATGTCGAAATTAACCTCCACAAAAAAGAGAGGAGGAGGGTGTTGTTTCATAAGGCAGGGAACTTGGGAAAGATCTGGAAGAGGCGCAGGAAGAAGGGGTGAGAGGAGATAAATAGCGGTGACAGGCGATAACAGGGGGGGTAACAGGGGTCGACATGGTGTAACAACATGGGATAACACAGGGTAATAGGGTAACAAAAGACATACAGAATGAATGAATGAACGTACACCCTACCTGTGGCAGCAGAGAGGTGTGTTTCTCCATTATAAGGCTCTCCACTATAAGCTCCGGCTGCAGCAGCACAGCCACATGCTGCCCTCCCAGCCGCTGCTGCCATTCCGCCGGGAAGGTTCCCAGAAGCTGCAGGCCTAGTTGGAGCTGCCTGGCGTCTGCCACGTCAGCAGGAGGCAGATCTGCCTCAGCAGCCCGCTTGAGGACAAAATTCACCTTTAAGAAGGCGTGGGGAAAGGGGAGGGGTGGGTAGGAGGGTTAAGAGGCAGATCTGCCTCTGCTGCCCGCTTGAGGACAAAATTCACCTTTAAGAAGGCGTGGGGAAAGGGGAGGGGTGGGTAGGAGGGTTAAGAGGCAGATCTGCCTCTGCTGCCTGCTTGAGGACAAAATTCACCTTCAGGAAGGCGCAAGGGAAGGAGAGGGGTGTGTAGAGGGGTGTGTAGAGGGGCGTTTTCTAGGCAACCTCAAGAACCACGACAGCAGGATGAAGATTTTCGAAATTCACCAACAGTAAGGCGTGGGGGAAGGGGAGGGAGGGGTGGGTAGGGTAGGAGGGTGTGTTTTCTAGTCACCTAAGAAATGAGCAGAATGCACATTTGCAGGATGTGCAGCTTGCTGCAAGTCACATAGATGGATGGAACAAAGCAAGCACATGGGGGTGGGTACGTACGATCAGCTTCTTGGCGTGCAGGGACGGAGCCCACCGCATGGCTGAGCGCAAGGTGAGGTGACGGTGAGTGAGGTGTCTATTGAGTCGGAACAAAAGTCACATGGATGGAACACAGCAAGCAAGCATATGGGGGGGTACGTACAATGAGCTTCTTGGCGTGCAGGGACGGAGCCCACCGCATGGCTGACAGCACCACGCCCATCACTCCCTCCCTCCCTTCCACTCCCCTCCTCGCTTCCTCCCCTGCGCCTCCACTCCCGCTCCCCAAACCACCACCAGCCACCGCAGGCGCAGCAGCAGCAGCAGAGTCACCATTCACCCCGTCCCTGTCTCCCTGACCATCTTGCCTGCTATTGCATCCCTTTGCCCCTTCTAACATCAGCCTCTCCAGGTATCTCATTCCCACTGCTGGGCCCGAGTCACCCTGTAACGGATCCCCACCCATCAGCTCACTCAAATAGCGCCCCCTTAATTCTGCTAGTAACGCCCCACCCACCCTCCCTTCTGACCCTGCTCCTGCTGTTCCTGGTGCCGTTCCTTCTGCTCCTGTTGCTCCTGCCACTCCTGCCGCTGCTCCCATTGCTGCTCTTCGATCTGCTTCAGCAGCCCCCGTCCCCCAGGTAACACTAGCAGCAGCTTCTCTTCCCACTCCTGCTCCTGCAGCAGCTGCAGCTGCAGCTGCTCCTGCTGGTGTTTCTGCTGGTGCAGCAGCAGCAGCATGTGCTTCAGCTAAGGACACAGCCTCCTTGACTGCTCCCTTGGCGGCCAGCTGGCGACAAACAGACTCGGGATCACGGAAGCAGAGCGAGCGAACCTGGAAGTGGGAAGGATGAAAGGGGGCGAGCGGAGAGCGGGAAGGAGCAAAGGCAGCGGTTTTAAAAAAAGGGAAGCTTCCTCGTTGACTGCTCACGTGGTGGCTAGCTGGCGACACACAGACTCAGGATCGCGGAAGCAGAGCGAGCGAACCTGAAGAGGAAGGAGGAGAGGGGGAAGCGGAGAGCGGGAAGGAGAGAGGCTTGAGGTTCTAATTAAAGGGTGGCGTCCTGTTTGATCGCTTTGTTGCGGCCCGCTGGTGGGAGATTGACTTGGGATTGCGGAAGCAGACCGAGTGAACCTGGAGGAAAAGGAAGCGAGGAGGGGAGCGGAGAGCGGGAAGGAGAAAAGGCTCTTTCACCTCTTTCACCTCTTAAACCTCGTCCACTTTTGAAGAGTGAACGAGGGTTAGCTGAGTCTGATGTTGCTGGTTAACTGACAACAGCACAATGAACGATAATGCACAGGAAGCCAGAGAAATGGGGGCATGAAAGAACCACTGACCTGCTGCCACGTGGCAAGGGCTCTGTCGTTGAGAACGGAGCGGATGCGAGTGTATTGATCCACCGATGACTTGCAGGTGAGGATCTTTGGAAGGAGGTGGGAGGGAGGTGGGAGGGAGGTGTGGTGTGGAGAGGTGGGAACCAAAACATAAGGGAAGATGAAACGCAGACGATTAGAGGATGGAGCGGATGCGCGAGTGTATAGATCCACAGATGACTTGCAGGTGAGGATCTTTGGAAGGACAAGGAAGAGTGGGAGGGGAGGTGGGAAGGGAGAGAGGTGGAAGAGGAGCAAGGAAGGGACGAGGGGAGGAACAGAATAACTAAATCGTTTCTAGGAACATGCGATCGATCGCATGGTGCATCATGCACACACCAAGGAGCAGCAGATGCAATTGTTTGCCTGGCTATGAGCACACCTGAGCTGAGCCCGCAGGGACAATGCTTGTTCCACTCTTGAGATATTTTAAAACCAGCAGATGTGATCATATGGCTGCAAGTCAGAGCATACCTGAGCCCGCAGGGGCGACGGTGATGGGAGGTGTGAGAGGCAGGTGTTGAATACGGTGTGGATGTGTGACAGCTGCCAGCTGTGGTGGTACCTGTAGTGGTGCACGCATACACAAAGAACATGCATGCATGCATGCAGACACAGACACGGAAAGGAACACACACAGACACTCAGTAAGTCAACTCAAGAAGCATGCATGCATTATATACATTTAGAAAAGGCCAGCTTCACCAAGCTGGTCTTCTAAGTCTCATCATGGTAATCAAACCCCATCATCATCGCGGCCAGCCATCATGCATGCGATACGATACGACCCCCAATCCCACCTCAGTGCCAGCGCCGCTGCCAGCTCCTTGTCAGCCACGCGAATCACGAACCGCCAGCTGTCACCCACTGTCACCGGCTTCCTCACCCCCCTGCCAGCACTGCCACCACGAATCCCACCCTCAATCCCTCCCCCACCGCCAGCAGCAGCAGCAGCAGCAGCACCACCACCAGGACTCGAAAACCCTACTCCTCCAATCCGTGGGCTGTGCTGCAGCCTGCTTGCCTGTGTTGCATGCACCTTCTGGAACCGCATCATGGCTCCTCCTGCCACTCCTGCTACCCCTGCCGTGTGCGTGTGAGCAGCAGCAGCACCTTCAGAGCGCTCAGCCTGCTCCACGAGAAGACACAGCAGGTGATCTGGCGCCCCCTCAGGCAGCCACGTGTCCGCCAGCTCAAGAGCCTCGGCCAATCGCGAGTCAGCAATCAGGCTGGGGATGGAAGAATTAGAATGGGCAGTGGAAAGGGGGTTGAAGAGGGGAGGGAGAAGAGGGGATTGATTGAGTGAGGGAAGAAGGGGAGAAAGAGGGAGAAAGAAGAAACACCTTGATTGAATCAACGACAAATACAATTGAGGATCAGAAACAATGGAGCATCCATCAGTTTGTTTGTTTTCAACTCCTCACCTCTCCAGGTGAATCCGCACAGGCCGCAAATCCTCCCATTCCGTTAACAGAGCCTCCAGCCGACCACTTGCCACTGCCGCCCCTGCCACCCCCGCTGTCCTTGCCGTCGCACCAACCACCCCTTCCGCTCCTGCCACTCCTGCTGCTCCTGTCGCCGCTGCTGCTCCTGTGGGCCCTGCTTCACCAGTTCCCTGTTCTTCCCTCACTCCTCTCGCTCTCCCCTCTTCTCCTGCCCAACCCCCCTGCTCTGGCATTGTGGTGGGATACCCATGAGCAGGACCTGCTCCTTCTCTTCTTCTCGCTGCATCACTCAGTGTATCACCCACATCACTCTCACTCTCGGAAACACCAGCATTCGCACGTGTTGTTTCTCCCCCCATAGTCAATGAAACCCCCTCCTCCCCACTTCCCACGTCGACCACATCGATTTCAGCAGCAAGAGGCCGTTTTGTGCCTCTTCCTCCTCCTTCACCCACCTGTCCTTTACCCACCAGCCCAAGGGAACTCTCTGCTACCCCCCCTGCTCCACCCAATCTCGCCCCTCTCACTCTCCTTGCTGTTCCCTCTTGCCCTGCAAGCAGAAGAGCTGACCCGGTAACCGCCCTCCCACTTCTCCTGCTGCTGCTTCCAGGCGAATGCACAGGCAAGACCCCTCCAAGGCTAGAGCTACCCCCCCAACTCAATGCCTGTTCCCTCAGTGCCTCCTCTTGCCCTGTTGACACTGCTGTTCTCTGCATTCCTCCCTCTAATTCCCTCACCCGTGCAACCCCCACCATCCCTGCACCCCCTGCAGCACCCAATGGCCCGCCTCTGCCTCCTCCCCCCACTGATGCCCCCACACCTGCTGCAGCTCCTGCTGCTGGTGGTGCTTGCTGGTTGGGAGCGCGGGAGGGTGCTTTAGCAGCAGCAATGGCAATAGAGTGGATGGCGGATTGCAGAGTGACCCACCGGTGGATGATTGGGGTGCTGGGGAAGGTGGGGGGAAGAGGGGAGTATGGGAAAAGGGAGGGTATGAAGGGGTGAGGAAGAGACAGGAGGAGGGAAGGTGCTTTGGAGGCAGCAATGGCGATGGAGTGGAAAGCAGACGGAATGCTGGCTTTTGATTTGAGGTGCCTCAAAGGTTTTGAGGCGGCTCAAAAGGCAGCAATGGCGATGGAGTGGAAAGCAGACAGTACGCTGGCTGGGCATGATTGGGGTGCTGAGAGTGGGAAGACAGCAAAGGGAAGGAATGGCGGAGAGAAGGGGGGCGGGAAGGGGGGAGGGAGAGAAGGAAGAAGGGGACTTGCACACACACACACACACACACACACACACACACACACACACACACACACACACACAAATCCAGAGCTAAAAGGTCATGGCTCATGCATGCAAATATCATGCCACAGACACCCCACAGGGTGTGACTCACCCAGCAGAGTGCACGCGTGCATACTCCATCAGCTTCTTTGCAGCTTCCTCCTCTGCCTCCACTGCACTCGCCACACCTCCCACTCCCCCTCCCTTGCCCCTGCTCCTATCACCGCCCAACACACCACCAGCCCTACCCACACCACCAGCACCACCACTGGTAGCAGCACCACCACCACCGGAAAATGCACCTATTGTTTTCAGATCACGCTCTCTCTCCTTCCTTCTGTGCATCTGCACTATCTGCTGCTCTGCTCCCAGCACACAAGCCAGCACAGCATGCACCATAGATTCTCTCGCAAGCAGCTGAACCACATCCATGCTCAGTGCAAATCGCGGCGGCTCATACGGCGAAGGTGCCAGAAGCTTCTCCGCACCTTCCACCCCTCCCACTCCTCCTGCCACCTTGCCCTTACCAGGCCTACCCTGTCCCAAGCCTCCTCTGGACCTGCCGAGTAGTCTGCTTCGGAAGCGCCGAGCCACGGAGCAGAGCTTCAGGCTCGGCACAGGCGGCAGCAGGCTCGGGAGAGCTGCGGGGATTATATCGGCAGGTAAGGACTCCCTACCCATAATCCCAGCCACATGCGACGCAGCAGCAATATCCCCTCTCACAAATACAAGCTCTCTTAAAAGCTCCACCGGGTCGACGTTTAGTAAAGAGAAGTAGTTAAAGGGGTGGCTGGGGTCGCTATCGTCAACTATATCCCCAATCTGAACCACATAGTTCAAGAAAACTGGCAGGTAACCCTTGGGATGATCCCAAGGCTGCTTCCCTGGCCCTCGCAACCCTGCTGCTGCTGCTGAGACTGCTCCTGCCAACCCACCTCCTCCTCCTCCTCTCTCTCCTCCTCCTCCTCCTGCTCCTCTTTCTCCTCCCCTTCCTGCTCCTCCTGCTGCTGTTCCTTCTGCAGCTCCTGCTGCCCCACCACCAGTGGCGGAACCCAGAAGGGACTGAAGCCCCACTACATTCTGCCCATCTGCATCAGGCTGCTTCGTGTTTGCTGAGTCAGCCTGCTTGGAGTTGGCTGAGTTGAAAGAGAACGGCCAGAGACTGGGCATAGACGATCGCGGCACAGGAGGCAGTGGGGCAGACGCCCTGGCACCTGAAGAAGCACCTGAGGAAGCACCTGAGAGAGCATCTGACGCAGCACCAGGAGGAGCAGATGCGCGTGCAGCAGCAGCAGCAGATGGGGTGCTTGTGATGGTGGTGGTTGTGATGGTGGTGGTTGTGGAGGGAGGGGGCATGCTGACAGCGCCTGTAGAGGTGCGTGTTGGTAATGAAAGGGGAGACGGAGCAGCAGCAGCGGATGCAGTGGTAGTGGTAGCGGAAGTGGAGGGAAGAGGGAGGGAGGTAGACCTGGTTGAACCTCCTTCAGAGAGATCTCCAACTGCTGCTGCTGCTGCTGCTGCTGCTGCACCTTCCAATGCTCCTTCTCTTGCTGCTGCCACCGAAGCACCAGCAGCAGCAGCAGCAGCAGCAGTAGCAGCGGCGGAGAGGCCAAGGCCAGAGGAGGAGCGAGTCCAACGGGGGGAGAGAGGGGGCGTGTGCACAGGAGACCCTGCTGCCACACGCACTCCTCCCGAACCTGTCGCCGAGGCTAAGCCCGCCACGGCAGCTGCAGCAGCCACCGAGCCTTGGGAATCGGTTCGGGCAGATACTGCAGGCACACTTGCTGGTCCCCCTCCTCCTGCTCCTCCTCCTCCCCCATGCAACATTCTCCAGAGAGAAAAGGAGGAGGAGGAGGACAAGGAAGGTCCTACAGCGGCGTCAGGAGCAGCAGCAACACCCTGGGTATCCCCTCCACCCGTACTACTACCTGCACCAGGTGCACCCACTGCATCAGCAGCACTTGCTGCACTGGCAGCAACAGCTGCTACAGCCCCTGCCCCTGCTACCCCTGCTGCTGCTGGCGCAGAACTCAGTCCAGAAGCACCGGCTGTAATAGCAGCAGCTGTAGCACCGGCTATAGCGTCTGCTGCGGCTGTCGCAGCATCAGCTGTAGCGTCTGTAGCAGGCTGATCTGGCAAGATCACGTCCAGCCCAATGCCAAAGCCAAGCCCGCTGCCAGGAGGGGGACACGTGGCGGATGCTGATTGGGCAGCGGCTGTGGCAGGTGCGGGGATGAGGGGGTCTGCTGCTGGTTCGGGATCCTCCAAGGCTCGAATGAGATTGTGGAGCTTGCCTGGCGTGTGGTGGAAGGGAGGTGGGGAGGAGGGAAAGAGGGTAGCAGTGGATGGCAAGAGGCAGGGGGTTGTTGTGGGAAGACGGAGAGAAGAAGAGTGGCATTAGAGGGGGTGTGCTGTTTCGGGATCTCCCAAGGCTCGGACGAGACTGTGGAGCTTGCCTGGTGGAGGGCGGTGGATGGAGGGGGGAGGGGGTGGGTAAGATGGGTAGCACGACGTACGTACCACTGACGAGCACCGTGCCTGCCTCACATCACAAACCCCCACCACCTGCTGCAGCGCCATCACTGCCCGAGCCTTGAAACACTCCATCTCAGCTGAAACAACGGCACGCCGATGGGCTATGGACCATACACCATGCTCAACAATCCTTCCACGTACCACTGACAAACTGTGCCGTGCCTGCCTCACAATCCGCCACCACCTGCTGCAGCGCCATCACCGCCCGAGCCTTGGGCCCTCGCCGCACCCCTGCCGAGCCTGACAGGCCCGGGGATGGCGACAGGTGTGGCTGCACGGCGGCCAGCAGGCTCGGGAGGGGAGTGGTGGGGTCCTGGTTCTGAATGGCTTCTAACCGCTGCAGCAGCCGCTCTGCTGTAACCCACTGCACGGAGCTTAAGCTGTTGCTACTGTCTTCCTCTCGCTCTTGCTGCTGCTGCTGCTGCTGCTGGTGCTGCTTCCCTGGCTGATTCTTCCCTCCTCGGCTCTTGTCTTCTTCCTTAAGTCCTTGCTGGTCTGCGTGCCAGGCTGTCAAGACAGTGCGTGCCTGCAGGGTTGGTTGGTGGAGGAGTGGAGAGGAGGAAGTGTCAGTCAGCTCATCCAATGCATGTGAAGTGCATGGGACGAGAGAAAAATCACTGCAAGCAAAGCACTTGAGTAGTACCAATCTACCAATCTGGCAGAATACACGCTTCAAAAAGCCATCTCTCTTTGCAAACGATCTGCTGTTGGTCAGGTTTGCGACGCTACACGAATGAGAGGAATGAGAATGAGAGTGAGAATGAGACGAGGCCGTACCTGGTCAAGAAGAACAAGGGCATGAGGAACGGTGCGTGCATGCATTGCTGCTGCTGCATCCACCAAGGTCTATTAGGCATCTAAGTAGGATGTTTCAGCTTTTTTAGGCGCCTGAAAGAATGTGGCCATACCTGGTCGAGCAGAACAAGGGCGTCAGGGGCAGTGCGAGCCTGTGTTGCTGCTGCGTCCAGCAGCACAGCCACCTGCATGAAAATACACGTGAGCGGATTACGTGGGCAGAGAAAATACTCTAGGCGGTGCCATGTAGAGCCTGAGCCCCCAAATCAATGAGTAGTTTCTGAGACAACCCCAAAGCAGGTGACCGGAAGTTGCTGACTAGGGGAAAGCAAAGCAGCTTGCCGAGTGAAACGCTTGCGCATTAAAGAGATGTCAAGAACAGGGAACAGCTCAGCAATCCGCACATACCATGTCAAGAGCCGGGAACATCTCCCACATGGGCTGTGACGGAGCAAAGAAGAGCGAGAATAGCGAATCCACCTGCTCTTTCTCCCTCCTTTGAGTTGAGGTACCTCAACTCAGTAGTGTGGGTACATACATACCCTATGCGAGCCATGCACATTGCCCAAGCCATACGCACATACCATGTCAAGAGCAGGGAACATCTCCCACATAGCCTGCGACGGAGCGAAGAAGAGTGAGAATAGCGAATCCACCTGCTCGTTCTCCCTCACTCGCCTCTCCCTCGCCTCCACACTCCCCACCCTCTCCAACCCACCCCTGCTCCCACCTCCCTTCTCACTCCCACCACTGCCAGCAGCAATATCAGCACCACCACCACCAGCACTGCTGCTGCTGGAGTGCAAGCGCCCTCCTCCACTGTCCCAGCGGACGACTCTGGATTGATCGTGGCGGGCGAGCCATGCAGACAGCTGCACTCGTGCCTCTGTGTGCACTGCCAGGGGGAAGCGGCGAGTGAGCGACTGGCAGAGAGAGAAATCACCGACTGACAGGCAGCTGCACACGACAGGGTGGACAGGGGGGACAGGGGGAACAGAGGGAATGAGTGTACAGACTAAGGCAAGGCAGGCAGAGAGCTGCATTCGTGCCTCTGAGTGTACGGCCACGGGGAAGCGGCGAGTGAGTGCGTCACAGAGAGATAGGTCGGCCACTGACAAGAGCCTGCATTATGACAGGGGAAACAAGGGGAACCGAGGGAATGAGCGGACCAAGGCGAGCCGTGCAGAGAGCTGCACTCGTGCCTGTGAGTGCACGGGCAGTGGGAAGCGACGCGTGAGCGCGTTGCAGAGAGAGAAGTCGCCCACTGTTAAGCAGCTGAGAAGGACGGGGAGGATAGAGAGAAAGGAGGAACAGAGGGACGAGCCCAATATTCAGGCAAGGCGGGCAGCAGAGGGACAGAGAGTGCACGGCCAGTGGGAAGCGGCGAGTGCGTGAGGCGCAGAGAGAGAAGTCGCCCACCGACAGGCAGCTGCATTATGACCAGGGAAAGAGGGGGGGCAGGGGGAAGAGAGTGAATGAGCGGACTAGGGAACTCACATCCATGCAATGCAACCACCTCATGCCATCGCTCCCTTGTGTTTTGACACGTCCCAAGCAACAAGGAAGGGTGCGAGCAGAGAATGAGTGGAATGAAGCAGAGAGAATGGCATGGTATGACTCACCAGGAGATGAGAGCAGAGGGTTCCACTCGCATCCAAGCCACCACCTCGTGCCATTCCCATGCCCACCAATCACTCCGCAGCCTCCGCTCCTTCCCCTTCCCTGCCTGCCCCTGCACCTCTCCTTTGTTCCTCACACGCCCCTCCATTCCACCCTCCTGCTCAGAACCACTCGCGTTGTCTTCTTTTTCCACCTCCTCCTCCTCCTCATAATGTCTCTCCAAAACCTCTTCCTTTTCCGATACTCGCCCCTCCTCTCTTTTCCCACGCCCAGTATGAACGCCCAGCCAATCAGCTTTCAGCACAGCCAGCCGCCACTGCCAGTCGTCCAGCCAATCACGCACCACCTGCGCCCTCTGTTTCCAATCAGAGGCCAGCACTGCCACTGCCGCTGCTGCCACGTCAGACGCCTGTGCGTCCAGCTCAGCATCCAGCTCAGCAGCAAATTCAGCATCTAGACCCTCAACTTCAGTGTCTGAATCTGAAGGATCTGTATCCGAGCCGCATTCAGCCAAACTCTCCTCCCCTGGCAGCCCTCCATCTGCCTTTCTTCCTCTCATTCCTTCCTCCTCCTCACCCTTCCCATCAATCCCTCCTCCTAGCTGTTCCAATCTCTCCTCTTCCATCCCCTCCTCCCCCTCCCCTGCCCCATCCCCACTAAGCAACCTCCTTTTCCTTCTGGAAAGAAAGCTGATCGCTTCTTGCGTCCTCAACCCTTCTGGTCTCCCCTCTCCCTTCTGTCCCAGCTGCTTTTCTTCGGACTCTGTTCTTTTCAGGCCAGCAGATGCAGCAGCAGCAGTGGCAGAAACACCACCATTACCATCAGCAGCAGCAGCAGGAGCAGCAGGAGAAGCAGCAGCTGCACCGTTGGCAGCAGCACCACCATCGTCACCCCCACCAGATCCCACCTCCCCCACATCATTCCGCGTCAACAGTGCCCGTGCCGCCCGCCTGTCGACGCCGCTCAAGGGCGACGCATCCAGCAGAAAAGGACGGGCCATGCCGTGCGTCTCCGTGCCCTGGGGCGGCAAATGCCTGGCTACAGCCGCCAGCAAGGCCTCCATTACTGCTACAGCCGGAGGAGAGGACGCAACAGCCGAGGGTGTTGACAGTGCTACCGATGCAGAGGTACCACCAGTGTTCAACCGGTGATCACCAGTGTCAGCAGCAGCAGCAGCATCTTTCTCCACATCAGCTCCAGCAGCAGCATCATGTGCATCAACATGAGCATGACACACGTCATGCTTGGCCAGCTGCTGAAGCCGAGCCATAGCCACAGCTGCCAAGCAATCCTCGTCTGCTGGAGCGCTGTTTGAGGCAGTGAGAAGAAAGAGTGAGCGCACCGTGTAACCCATCCAGATCTGAGTTGCATGAGATGAGACAAAGGGAGCAAAAAGGCAAGGGTCAATAATCTATAACCAAACCACGCAACTGTCCTGCTGTTGTCGCCTTGGTGAACTGCATGCTCGCATTCGAATTCTTGCTCCCCTACCCCTCCCCTTCCTCCTCACCTTGCAGGCAGCAGTGGTGACACAGGCTGCATGGCTCTCAAACGAATAACCTGCCCTGTCCAGATGCTCGCACCCGAAATTCTTCCCCTTTACATGTGGAAAGGCAAGGCGTACCTTGCGGGCAGCAGTGGTAACACGGGCTGCATGATGCTCATACGACTCTACCGCCCTTATCGCCTCAGCTGCTCCACACTGCACCTGCACCCCTTCCCTTCCTTCTCCCCCTTTTCCTTCTCCCCCTTTTCCTTCTCCCCCCCTTATTTCTCCTCCTCTGCCACCCCCCGCCATGGCATGCACGGCAGTCTCTGCTGCGTGGGCGGCAAACAGCATGTGAAGAAGCTCCACGTCCCAGTCTCTGCAGAGAAGGAGCAGGGAAGGGTGGAGTGGAGAGAGGGAGAAGGAACTTGGTTCACCCAGTCTGACCTGACCCAGCTCAACAACATCGTCCTTCTCTGCCTCCTCCTGGCAACGCACAGCAGTCTCGGCTCAGCTGCCTGGGCAGCAAACAGCACGTGAAGGGGCTCCCCAAACCAAACTCACCAGCACGTACAGTGAGAGATCCGATCCTCACACCGACTTTCACAACATCCAACCATCTCACACCAATTGGGTCGGCTGCTCGCACCATACCTTACTGCTCCATCCATCTCTCACCTGCCAGATGTGCCACCGAGCACGTTGCACCCAGCTCCCGGCTGGGCCTGCACTAGCTTTATGAGCTCGTGTGGGAGGAAACAGTGGGCACCCAGAGACAGCAGCACGTGCAGGGGCGGCTGCACGTGCAGCAGCTCCATTGCCAGCCGTGCAAGGAACGGGTTGGCTGTCCCCACCATACGAGCCACTGCCTTGGGACTCAGCATACGTGGGAGCCCCTTCTGAGTTCGGTTGTCAGGTGGAGAAATAGGGCCGGGATCAGCTGCAGGGGACAACGGCCTTGGCTGTGGGCCTAGCCCTTGCTGCTGCTGGTGGTGTGGGTGATGGTGATGTTGATGGGAAGAAACCTGCTCCTGTTGCTGCTGCTGCTGCTGTTTCTTTCTCTGCTTCTGCTGCTGCAAGGTAGCGTGGCGAGAAGCAATGAGGAAGGCCAGGTGTGCATGGTAGATGAGGTGAGCACAGCACACGCCAGCATGCTGCAGCTGCAGCTGTGACGACGACCAGAAGTTGGCAGCAAGAGGCACGTTTGGCAGCGGCGCATGGGCGGACGCGGACCCATGGGGCAGCCGCAGCAGGGCACGGGCAGACTCGTGAGGCCAGAGAGCCCAGAGGAGACGCAGGCGGGTGGTGGGGTGGGAAGGTCCTATGAGGTCCCAGGCGATTAGTGTGGTGAGGGGGAGGAGAGGCGGGCACAGACGGAGGATCTGTAGGGAGGGAGGGATAGCGGTAAGAAGGGAGAAGATAAACAAGCATGAGCAGGCGGGTGGTGTGGTGGGGTGGGAGGGGCCTATGAGGTCCCAGGCGATTAGTGTGGTGAGGGGGCGGAGAGGGGGGCACAGACGGAGGATTCGCAGGGAGGGAACGGAGTTGGGGAGCAGAGGGAGAGAGGAGGGGGAAATGGATGGAGGATGAGAAAAGGTTGAAGTAAAATCTACAGGGTGTGGTGAAGGAACAGAGAGGAGCGGATGATGACAGAATGCGTCCAGCATGCCAGGCCAGCAGCGTAGAAAATACAAACTCTGAAGCCCAAACCCTGAACCCTGAGAATTCTAGAAATGGTCTGTTGCTGCTTGAACCACTTACATGGTTTGCTTTTGCGAACTGCCCCGCATGCACAGCAGCCAAAGCTCCCTCCAGCACACTCCCCACCACCACCTGCCTCTCCACCCTCGCATGCTCCACAAGCTCCCACACACACCTCTCCTCCACAATCTCACTCCCCACACCCTCTTCCCTCATACCCTCCTTCCTCAGACCTTCTCCTCTCGCACCCACTCTCCTCCCAAGCTCCCCACCATCTCCCCTCTCCCCCATTGTCTGCCTTCCTTCATCCACAGGCTCTTCCTCTCCTTCTCCCACTCCTTCTCCCTCCCCCTCGACCTCCAATTCACTTGCTTCATTCGCGTCCACGTGAGCCCCTTCTGTGTCCGATTTCCTCTCCAGTTCAGTTGCCTCTGGGTGGCCGTCTGCTTCATTCCGTTCTGCTGCAGGGTCGCTGTCAGCTTGCCCGTGTGCCAGCAGCAGGGCGTGTAAGGCCTCCAAGGGAGGGGCGATGGGGAAGTGACGCGCGGATCGCTGGGACTCGCTGTGGATGCGGTCGTCCCATACAGCCTGGAGGAGGAGAGAGGGGAGCACGAGTGAGTGAGACAACAGCAGCAGCGCGTGAAGAGCCTTCAAGGGGGAGTGGCGGGCGGATTGCTGGGTCTCATCTCACTGTGAATGTGATCGTCTCATACAGCCTGGGAACAGAGGGGGAAAGAAGAAAACGGATAAGGACGAAGGAAAATGGATGGAACAACAAAGAGAGTAAGCTATACTTATTGAGGGGATGGACGATTGTTAAGCTGACTGACTCAATGCCACCATACCCCCATGTCATCATAACAGAACCCCATGCCATCACACCACATGTCATCTCACCCCCATATCATCACACCACATGTCACCACACACCCCATATCATCACACCACATGTCATCACACTCCCATATCATCACACCACATGTCATCTCACTCCCGTATGATCATGCTGCATGCCATCATGCCATCATGCCATCATGCCATCATGCCATCATGCCATCATGCCATCATGCCATCATGTCATCATGCCATCATGCCATCATGTCATCATGTCATCATGTCATCATGTCATCCGTACCTGAAACATCCTGATGAGGCGGGCCGAACCCGAAGATATCAGCTCCTGGACGGCAATTCTTGTCTCTTCCTTTCTCACTGCCGTCCAAACAGGAGTGTTGGACGGCGCTTCCTGGGGCACCTGCGGGCGCAGTGCGAGGACCAACTGGTGCAGGGCGGACCTGCAGGGAAGGGATGATAAAATGAAGAGAAGCAGCATCAGATTGAGTTGACACTTGAGTCCTGAGGATAAGTCGAGCTCTCCTGTACCGCAGACAAGTCGTTGCTCTTCTCATTTGAGCTTAGAGATGTCTCGACGCCTTTGCATTCCTCACCTCTGTAAGTGACTCGAGCTCACCTGTACCGCTGCTCTGCTCCTCCACACCACAACCCCATGTTCCACATTCAGGTATCTGCTTCCCCCCAACCCCCACATGCACACAAGCATCTGCTTCCCCCCAACCCCCGTTATAAAAGTTCGAGCATGTCAGTCAGTGCCTCACCTGTATTGCTCCTCTTCCACAGCCCCATACTCCGCATTCAGGTACCGCAGGCGACCAGCTGCTGCTTTCATGTCCCCTGCCTCTACCATACATGCCACCGCCCCCAGATGAGCCTCCTGCACCCATCTCACAGCCGCCACAGCTGCCGGCCAGGATTGCGAGGGTAAATTACCCTCGCTCTCACGTCTCTTGTCGCTTCCTGGCGCCGTCGTCGACAACCTCCTCCTCCTACTCCTCTGGCGCAGAACGTTCCTGGAAAGCTCGTCCAGGATCTCAGGGTACTCTCCAACAACCAATGAGATGCCGACAGGTGTTGCATCAGGGATGATTCTTTCAGCATCGCCTTGCTCCCTCTCCTCTGCTGCTTCCCCCCTCTCTTCATCTGCTGCAGAACTTACTGACTCGGTTGCCTCTGCTGGCCCAACCAGCACTGCCTCATTCGCCTCTTCCCCTATGTCACCAGCACTAAGCCTACTCCCCACAACCACAGGTCTACTGGGAAGGCCCCAGACCGATCGGTCATGAAGCACTGTGACTGCTGCACGCAGCTCTTCCTCTCTTCTTAAAGCCTCCCCTTCTCTCTCCTTCCCTTCTCTCTCCATCCCTCTTTGTTCCTCCCCTTCTCGCTCCTCCCCCCCTCTGCCTGCTCCAGAAAAGCCCCCCTGCTCGCCTGTACGCGTTACAGGACGATCCACTCTCTGTGAGGAGGCAGACTGTTGCACCTGGAGTGAGAGCTGGGCCAGATACAAGTCAAATTCGGCTTCATCAACCATCACTCTCTCCCCCTCCAAACCGTCGCCTGTGTGCCGCCATCCTAGCTCCTCTCCTTCCTCGTCCTCCCCCTCCTCTTCCTCTCCCTGTCCGTCCGCATCTGCAGCAGCGGCCGTCCAATCATCCCTTTCAGAGCCTCCTCTATCTTCTTCTCTCACCCAAGCCCCTCCCTCTCCCCTCTCTTCCCTCTCTCCGCTCACCCAATCGCCTCTCTCTCCCCTCTCTCCCTGCACCTTACACAGCTCTCTGTATTCCCCAACGCACAGCCACGTCAGATGGGCGGCAGACGGGACAGATGCCGACCACACAGCCCCGGGAATCTCTCCCCCCGTTACAATCACATTCCTGAGCAGAGAAATCGCACGGGAAGGGCTGAGCCGTGCAAGGTCCCCGACAGCCGCTCTGGCGAGCTCGAATTGTGACAATATCAAATGGTTCGCCACTAGACGCTCCAGCAGGCTGATCTCGTCTTCCAAACCAGATGTGACTATATCGAAAGCCAGGGGAACGTAACGAACGGGGGACTCTGACAGGAATTCGGAACCACCGACACCAGCTGCAGCAGCATCGTCACCATCATCACCAGCAGCAGCAGCAGCAGCAGCCGAAGTGGAGTTTGCCTCATGCTCCTGCTCACCTCCTCCTTCACCAGTTGTAGAATCTACAAACGTCCTATTCTCAGTTTCTTCTTGGGAAATCGTGGCGTTATTGATCGCACCAGAATCGTCCAATCCCCCAGAGTTACCACCTCCAAAACCTCTGGACCTGAGCCCCGGATTGTCATCAGCAGCAGTAGCTCGTTCTGCGTCTTTAACAACGTTGAAACCAGCGTCTGCTCCCTCCCCGCTTCCTTCAGCAACGCTCGCTGGTCGGACTGCTGGGTTCACCGGACTAGTAGGCGACGCTGCTGGTACCACTGCTGCTGCTGCTGCTGCTGCTGCTACAGTGGCTGCTTCAGATGACGTCGCTGGCGATTCATCTAGTGATGACGTCACTGTCGGGCTGGTTTCCTGGAAGTTTCGGTCCCCTTCGCCAGCGGGAAACTCGTCTTCGATCTTCGCCAAACGCGGCTTTCGCTTACGGCTCCACATCATCGGAAATTCTCGTTCAAGCGACCCTGGATTCGTCGCATAGAGTCGCTCGGCTCGTATCACAAGAATCGCTCGACTCGCAGGTTATCAGAAACTCGTCAATTTTCGCCAGACGCGGCTTTCGCATACAACTCCATTCAGAAAGCATAGAAAAAACATGGAACTGCTGCAAGAAAAAACGTCCAAGTCAAATTTTGACTTCTTATTGCAACACAATTGCTAAGATCCAATGGCACGCCACGTCCGATCACCGGACTTCAGTTGCACCACGCGCTTACTTCCGTACAATTTCACGCTGGCAAAGCCTGCTCAGTCAGCTACTACAAATTCCGCAAACTGAAGGTGTGTGTGCCCAGCATGTGGCAAGGAATATGTACGGCTCTTGATCCCCGCTATACGATCCTGAGTACATAAAAGTGAGGCACTTTTTCCCCTGTGAGTTGCGTTTCCGCATTCTTGCTTGTACGAAATTGAACATTCTTTCTTGAACATTTTTTAACATCCCCGCTATACGATCCTGAGTACATAAAAGTGAGCCACGATCCTCTGTGCGCCAACGCGATCCCCCCGAATGGAACATTTTGATGACTTTTTTTTTCTAGATCGTTACAACGACATGCCTGCGTAGTTTCACCGATCGATTTCCTAAAGCGATTCTGAAAATCGATACTTACTCACGATCCTGCGATATTCGCACTTTTACTGCGTACTGCCTCCTCCACTCTGTTTCTCGAATTCGCAACTGCGCCCAACTGCACCCTTCGCCACAAGCATCGTGGTTACTCAGCGGCGGTACGTGAATTCAATTGAAATTCGACGGCATCGGGATGGCCGTGGAATCGGGAACCGGGGGCGGAACCCGCCGAATAGGTTTGGACGGATGGCCACCTCTCGAAATTTCGCGCCAGAAATAGGAAACGTGGCCACGGGATCAGATAACACCCTCCCCACCTTCAGCCCTCCCCTCCTGCCAACCAATCCCATCGCCATCCCAAGGCAATTCACCGTTTCACGGGGAATTGCCTTGGGATGGCATGGGCCGGGAAGGTTGCCTGGGGACGAATTTGCTCCCCACTTTCCAATCACTGTAATGCCGTCCGAAATGGTTGGAAATGGTGGGCGTTCGCTAGGCCAAATGATACCGTTTGGTTCGGATGTGTTACAATCCCAAGTGGGACTTAGCGAAGGATCGCTCAGGGTTGATCGCATGGTGATGTTTGCAGCGGAAGATTGAATCTCAGGTCAGAGTGAATGTAAATGACTGAGTTGATAATAGCATGCATACATCAGGTTTATATAAGAATACAAGGGAATACGCAAAGACCTAGACTAGCCATGTACTCTAAGGGGTACATTCCCTTATTGCAGTGAATTCAAACCGTGCGGCGCGGGAACCTGTTTCAAAACCTGTTCTCGCTCTTTTCACTTCGAATGTTTCTGCCTGCATCGGTCTTGATCAGACGGTTACCAGTGTCGCTTCGACTCTTCTGACTCCTCGGCTTCGTACACTTTAGAGTCGGTCCCTGTAGCATACAGGAATGCCTTCTCATAAAGTTTCATATTGCAACACTCGCTTGACCACTCCAATGAGGTCGGAACAGTGCTTGTACTGCTGACGTGGCAGTCGCTTGGTGAGAAAGTCGGCTGCCATCTCGGTGGTGGGGCAGTACGTGAGATCGACCTTGCCCTGGTCAATTTCGTCCTTGACGAAAAAGTACCGGAGCGCGATGTGCTTCGTGCGGTTCACGAAACCTGGCTTGTTCGCAATCTTGATGGCACTCTGATTGTCGCAGTGAAGACGAAAGGTGGGCGAAGTTGAAATTTTCGCCTCCTGCAGCAGTTCCTGTAGGTACAGACCTTCGCGAACTGCTGCTGCCGCGGCGATGTATTCTGCTTCGGCCGATGACAGGGCAACCAGCTCCTGCTTTTGCGAGTTCCAGGAGATTGGTCCTGTTGGTTCCAGGCGAAAGACGAAGCCGGTTCGGGACCGTCGATTTGCAGGGTCAGCGGCATGATCTGCATCCACGTAGCCGTTGAGGTTGAAGGAGGTTGTCGTCAGCGTGGAGTAGGAGAGCCCGATGTCAGGTGTGGAAATGAAGTACTGCAGGGCGCGTTCCAGATCCAGCTGGTTCTCTGCTACTGGCTTGCGAGAGTATTGTGCCAGTTGGTTGGCGATGTACGAAAGGTCGGGTCGGCAGGTGACAGAGGCGAACAGCAGGCACCCCAATTTCTGCTGGTACATTTGGAGTCCTGCGGGCGACAGAGGTTTGTTGTCCGGTTTGTAGTTGGCACTTGGGTTGCGGTAAGGAGTTGAGAGTGGTGCGGATGAGATGTTGAAGCGTTCCCCCAGCTGCTCTGCGTACTTAGAGGCTGACAGATGAATTGCTTCTGGCGCGTAGGTGATGTTTAACCCCAGAAACTGTGTGACGTTGTGGTTGATGGTGATGTCAACGCGCTGTGCCAGGTTCTCTTCGAACTGATTAAGAAGCTTGTTGCAGGTCCCAGTGTACAGCAAGTCGTCGACATAGACTGTCAGAAGGATGTAGTCGCCGTTGAAGTGAAGGCGGTACATTCCCGGGTCGTGCGGCAGCTGCCTGAAGCCGATCTCGAGGAGGATTTTGTGCAGATGCTGCTGCCAGAGACGCGGCGCTTGCTTTATCCCGTAGAGAGATTTCTTTAGCTGGCAGACCCTGGGGTCTCCTTCCCCGTAGGTGTGTGGCTGTTCCACAAAGATGGTTGCATCCACCAGCGCGTATAAGAACGCGTTCTTGACGTCGATCTGCCGCAGTGGTAGGTGCTTAGCGGCGGCAATGGCGAGTAGAATTCTGACGGAGGTGTGACGACTGACGGGAGCAAAGGTTTCGTCGAAGTCGATGCCGGGGCGCTGATCGTACCCTCGTACGACACAGCGTGCTTTGAAACGCTCGATTGTGCCGTCGGCGTTGGTTTTGAGACGGAATACCCATTTTCCGCTTAGTACCCTCCTCCCCTTCACTGCTGCACGATCGACTAGGACCCATGTGTCGCGTGATTCCAGTGCCTGTAGCTCCGCGTCCATAGCAGCACGCCACTCCTTGGCGTGGGGACCGGTAAGGGCCTGGCGAGGGTTCTTGGGTTCGACGACACGCGTGAGGGTAGTGACAGATGTGTGTAGGCCAAGAAGCTGCAGGCCGGACACGGTGGTGGTGTTGCTGGTGGTGACCTCCACCACATCGTCATCGTCACTCTCGTGGGCAGTTGCGGTGGTGCTGGGCTCAGGTTGGCGACGTGATGGTCCTGGCGCGGGTGTGTCGTCGTCATCGTCGTCGTCGTCGTCGTCGCGCGGGCGAGGTGGGACGCCTGGATGTTCGTCGGCGGGATCACGGTCGAGTGCTGCTGCTGCTGCTTCGTCCTCTGGGGATGCAAAACTGCGGCCACTGTTGACATAGACGCGTGCCTCGTTGCGACGCTCGTCTTCGATCCACTGATTCAGAGTGAGTCGCTCGTAGAAGATAATATCACGCGCGGGAACAACCTCCTTGCTGTCAATGTCGAGAATGAGCCAGCCTTTCTGCTCGTTGCTGAGTCCCAAATGAATTCCCCAGCGCGCGCGGTGAACGAACTTGCCAATTGTGGCCGAAGTCGGCCGATACTGCACCATGCACCCCCAAACCCTCAGCATGGAGGGGTCTCCCTTTGAGCCGGTCCACTTCATGTGCGGGGAAAGGTTGTCCCTGTTGGCCGTGGTGGAGAGAAGGTTGTGCAGGCGCACCGCGTGATTCATGGCGTAGGGCCAGTACTTTTTGGGTAGGCCTGACTGGTTCATGAGGGCTCAAACTTTTGTCATGAGGATGCGATTGACCCTCTCTGCGACGCCTTGCTGCTGATGTGCGTAGGGGAGAGAGATCTCGTGCTTGATCCCCTTTTCAGTGAGGACGCTCTCCAGTTCGTAGCTGCGAAATTCCTTCGCCCCGTCACTCTGCCAAATTTTCAGCTTCCTCCCCGATTGTCGTTGCGCATGTGCGAGCCAGATGCGGAGGACCTCTGGAGCCTTCGAGCGAGCATCGACGTTGGCAATCCAGACGTGGCGTGAGTAGGAGTCGATGAAGGTGAGCGTGTATTTTTCACCGTTGATGCCGTCGCAGGTGAGCACGATGAAGTCGCTGTACACCTTCTCCAGCTTCTTGTAGCGGTTGGTGCTTGGTTCCAGAGATGGGTAGGCGCTGTGAGAGAGAGCAGCTGTGGGGCAAACGGTGCAGGTGATTGGGCGTGAGGTGTTGTGTGGTTCTGTGCCATCGGGGCGCAGCAATGCTCTCGGGGGAAAAACCTTGGCGCGGAGATAGTTAGCAAGTGTCTGGCGCGAGGGGTGGCCGAGCCGTTGATGCCAGAGATCGTCTTCGGCGCGAATGCCGGAGGTGCGCATGTAGCGTGCGTGTTGCTCTGCTGCTTCCGCCTCTGTTTCTTGCGGAATCTGGAGTGGGGGTTCCTCCTCTTCTCCTGGTTCTGCTTCGTTGTCCGGCTCCTCTGTTTCTGCTTCCGTCGCTGTCTCCCCTTCAGCAGGTGCCGTCGTGAGATAGAGTGCGAGAAATTCACGGGCGGGGATGATGTTGAGCGGAGTCGTCGTGCCTTCGATGAAGCGGGCAAATGGGTCTGGGCGCGAGATTGGCCCGAGAGAGTCACGCGGGGGAGTTGGTGGCACGTTCCCCTCCTCAATCTCTGACCATGAGCTGGTCCAGCGCCATCGTGGTGAGCTTGGGGGAGAGCGAGTGCGCGGGGGCCTTCCGAGCGGAACAGCGACTCGTGGAGATTGTTCTCCGCGCTCAGCCCTCATTTCCCGTTCCATCTCTTCTTCTTCTTCTTCTTTGGTGAGCGGAGCATCCACGTATTCGTCTCCTTCCCATCCGCCTGTGTCGCCCCATCCGCCTGTGTCCACTGTGCCGGATGCGCCGGTTGCGGATCCCCATGTTGCACCTTCCTCCGGTATGTAGTCATCGTCTCCCCATGCACCTCGTCGTGCTGTTTCG